CAGAGTGGTGTGGTGTAAAAAAAAAATACATTTTTTAGGGGCCTGTAGTTTTTGCCGATCTGCTAACCTAACCAGGTAAAACTCTGGACCTTATACGGTATGACGTGATTCATCTGTTGTAAAATGTTTTGATATGGGCTATGATGGGACCAGAGTCTTTCTAATCAGGTCACATGGTTTTAGAAACTTCTGGCCTTGGGGGATGAAAACCCTGTCCGATTGCAGCAACCTCGTACTTGTTAATATTAATCATCTTTGAAAGGACTAGGGTGGTTTCCTATACAAAGAGAAAGAAACATGATTGGACAATCAAACTCACAGGACTGAGCTTCCTATATGCAGGTTTACCTTGTGTAGTCCTGCTCTATGAAACTGGGCCTACTAAAACATTAACTCAGCTGTTTAATTAATTCCAGGTAATACATTTGGATTTAAGTCTAGGTAGCCTAGTCAGCCCGAGTTTGACTATAAACCAAATTTGATTCCATTCACATTTTCTCACAAACGAATGCGCTATAAATACACATCATTACCGCTTCGTTTACCCTGGCCAGAGGGACAGGGTGCATAGTGAGCGAGACTATACAGTTGCTGTTAGTAGCCTACAGTTAGTGCCTTGTTGCAAACCGGATGCATGTTCTGGAATATTTTTATTCTGTACAGGCTTCCTTTTCATTCTGCCAATTAGGCTAGTATTTTGCAGTGGGCTAATGAACAAAAACACTGGAGAATTGGAAAAACATTGCCTAGTCTGATGAATCCCTGTTTCGATACTATTCCCAGAGGCGACCGGAACATTTCCCAGTCCGCGTGATCAAAACGGTCTTGGAGCATAGATTCCGATTGGTCAGACCGAAGTTGAACAGTCCTTACCACGGGTGCTTCCAATTTTTTAAGTTTCTGCCTATAGGCGGGGAGGAGCAGGATGGAGGTGTGATCTGATTTGCCAAAGGGAGGGTGGGGGAGGACCTTGTAGCTAGGGCTGGGAATTGCCAGGGACCTCGATACGATATCACAATACTTAGTGCCATCAGAAAGTATTCATACCCCTCAACCAATTCCAAAATTTGTTGTTACAGCCTGAATTCAAAATTGATTAATTCGATTTGTTTTCTCACCCATCTACACGCAATACCCCATAATGACAAAGTGCAAAATCATTTTTAGAAATATTCGCAAATGTCTTAAATACAGAGACCATTTACATAAATATTCACACCCCTGAGTCAATACTTTGTTGATGCACCTTTGGCAGAGATTACAGCTGTGAGTCTTTCTGGATAAGTCTCTGTGCTTTCCACACCTGGATTGTGCAACATTCTTATTTATTTTTATTATTTTAACTTCTTCAAGCTCTGTCAAATTGGTTGTTGATCATTGCTAGAAAACAATTTTCACGTCTTGCCATAGATTTATGTCAAAACTTTAACTCTGCCACTCTGGAACATTCACTGTCTTCTTGGTAAGCAACTCCAGTGTAGATTTGGCTTTGTGTTAGGTTATTGTGGTGCTGAAAGGTGAATTCATCTCCCAGTGTCTGGTGGAAAGCAGACTGACCCAGGTTGTCCTCTAGGATTTTGCCTGTGCTTGGCTCCATTCTGTTCCTTTTTTTTTATCCTTGAAAAACTCCCCAGTCCTTAATGATGACAAGCATACCCATAACATGATGCAGCCACCACTATGCTTGAAAATATGGAGAGTGGTACTCAGTAATGTATTGGCTTGGATTTGCCCCAAACATATCCCTTTGTATTCAGGACAAAAAGTTAACTGCTTTGCCACAGTTTTTGCAGTATTACTTTAGTGCCTTGTTGCAAACTGGATGCATGTTTTGGAGTATTTTTATTCTGTACAGGCCTCCTTCTTTTCACTCTGTCAATTAGGTTAGTATTGTGGAGTAACTACAATGTTGTTGCGGCATCCTCAGTTTTCTCCTATCACAGCCGTTAAACTTTAACCGTTTTTGTCACCATTGGCTTCATGGTGAAATCCCTGAGCGGTTTTCTTCCTCTCCAGCAACTGAGTTAGGAAGGATTCCTGTATCTTTGTAGTATTGATACACCATCCAGTGTAACTTCACTATGCTCAATGGGATACTCAATGTCTTATTTTTAATTTTTTAACCCCGTCTACCAATGGGTGGCCTTTGCGAGGCATTGAAAACCTTCCTGGTCCTTGTGGTTAAATCTGTTTTGAAATTCACTGCTCGTTTAAGGGACCTTACAATTACCTGTATGTGTGAAGTACAGAGATGAGGGAGTCATTCAAAATCATGTTAAACACTATTGCGCACACAGTGAGTCCATGCAACTTTATTATGTGATTTGTTAAGCAAATGTTTACTCCTGAACTTATTTAGGCTTGCCATAACAAAGAGGTTGAATACTTATTGACTTGAGACATTTCAGCGTTTCATTTTGAAAAATTTAATTTGTAAAATGTCGAAAAACATAATTCCCCTGTGTGTCAAATTCGGCCCCTAACACACAATGTGCAAGAACTCAACTGCTTTCAATACTTTCTGAAGGCACTTTTGGTGCCGATTTTTATATGTATTACGATTCAATGTTTCAAAAATTGCTCACCATATGTCTGCTGCTTAGGGACAAGTGAGCCATGAGAAAACAAGTTTAGCTTTTTCATGGAAATAAAAATGCTGAAAACAAACTGCCTCCCTAATTTAAAAACACTGGAGAGCAAGCTATGAAGGGGGGAAAATACTGCAGTTTTGGTGCAGGTACAGCCAACTAGTGTAAACATAATATTGTGATATTGTCAAACGATATATTGTCAAAAAATATCCCAATATGTAACTGCATCGAAATGTCTTCATTATTATTATAGATTTTTTTTTTTTCTTCATAACTACTTGTAGTTGTCCCAGAAGGGAGAGTAACAATGGTCAAGCATGTTCTCGCCGCGTGTAGCACAGGAGATGTTGGTCGAATTTCTGCAACGTTTTCCTCAGATTACCTTGCTCAAAGTCCCCAGCTACAATAAATCCGGTCTCCGGATATGTGGTTTCCAGTTTGCACACAGTCCAGTGTAGTTCCTTGAGAGCCGTTGCGGCGTCTGCTTGGGGGGAATCTACATGGCAGTGACTAACAAACAAATTATCTTGGTCGACATTTGATAGTGAGGTATCCCAGTTCGGGAGAACAAAAGGACTTGAGTTTCTGTACGTTACCACAATCGCACCATGGTAGTAGGTGCCAGGCGCTCAGGTTTGAGTGTCAAGAACTGCAGTGCTGCTGGGTTTTTCACGCTCAACAGTTTCCTGTATGTATCAAGAATGGTCCACCACCCAAAGGACATGCAGGTCAGTGGGTGAAAATGGGTCATTGATGAAAGGGGACAAAGGCTGACACGAATTGTGCAGAGCAACAGACTGGCTACAGTCTTTGGCTATGCCCAAAGACTCCTAAAAGAATGTACAACTCGTTGTACCTTGACACGAATGGGGTATGCCAGCCGATGACCTTAGTTACTACTTTCAGCATAAAACAAACTGCGGTTGCAGTGGGCTAATGAACAAAAACACTGGAGAATTGGAAAAACATTGCGTAGTCTGATGAATCCCTGTTCCTACTGTATCACGCTGATGGGAAGACTAGGGTATGGAGAACCACAAGTACATGCATCCATCAACATTGCTGGCTGGTGACGGTGTGGGGAGTGTTTTCCTGCCACACATTGGGCCCCTTTGATAGAAGTGGAGCAATGTTTGAATGCCACAGGATATCTGAACATCATTGCCAATCAGGTGCATCCCTTGGCAGCTGTGTATCCATCTGCAAATGTATTTATTTTCAGCAGGATAATGTCACAAGGCTAGGATTATCAAGGAATGGTTCCACAAACATGACAGTGAATTCAGCTTACTGCAGTGGCCTGCCCAGTCACCAGATTTCAAGCCAATTGAGCGTCTGTGGGATGAGATTGAACCAGCTATTCGGAGGAGACACTACAAGCCAATTTGACAACTGTGGGAAGCATTGGAATCATTCCTGTGGAACGCTTTCGACACCTTGTAGAGTCCATGCCCTGATGAATTGAGGCTGTTTTGAGGGCAAAAGGGGGAAATATTAGGAAAGTGTTTTAATGTTTTGTACACTGTATATCCGGAGAGAGCCATGATTCTGTGTTATCACTTGATTAGTGGGGAAATGCCCCTACATGACTCATGTAGGAAATTGCTTCTTTGTGGGGGGAAAAAACTATTACCTAGTATGGCTCTGTGTTTTCAGCTGGGGGGCAAAATGGCTGAGGAGACTCTTAATGGTGGAGGGCCCTTCATGATTCAAAGTGACTGTCGAACTCGTTCAGCTGGTTTGGCAGTAGTGGGTGGTCTGGTCACTAGAGGGCCTTTTTGTATTGTTTTAAGGCAGAATTTGACCCAAAGCTGAGAACCATTCACACAGACCCAATACCTGTATTTTGGTTATGGGGACTGTGACAATGTAGGAATCATGACTAGGTCTTTAGGTGGGATTTAATATACCATCCTCCCCCCACTCCTTTCAGATATACAAAAAAGCAGGTAATAATGAAGCAGGCATTGTAAATTAGTGGTATTTTGGTCTGTATGAAAGGGATAGGTTCCTAAGGACAACCTCGTGCATACAGTATTTTAGAGACACTTTACCACAGATATTATACATCCATATAGATGGCATCAGTTCTCCTCAGAGGACAAGTTGCAGGTGGATGCCAAACATGGATGCAATAGCATTACTCTAACACACATTTCAATATTCAGTCTGATGGATACTGTAAGAGTGAGGCATTTTGCCCTCTTAACTGGGGAAGGGCTGACTGGTCCTTGAGTATCGTCTTGGGCCATTTGCTATGCGGACCCAGGTGACAAAGCGCACAGAAGTCTGGGTGGGGCCTACACGCTTACTGCCACCTTCTGCCTCATGACTTGACCGGTTCAGGACTTCTGTTCCCTGTCTCGCTCTAATGTACCAACCTCTTTGACAAACAGTGTTCCCTGTTTGTCTGTACAGGGACCACCTCGGGTCATTTTTATCAAGATGGCAGGAAAGATTAGCTCCAAAGACGAACTGGAGGAACTGAGAGAGGCGTTTGGCAAAGTTGGTGAGTAGACGACAACTGTGATTTTAGTTGATTTATTTTCTGCATTAGTATTTTCATTATGAAATGTTTTCATAATACATGTTACATTACACACCTAGTCTACAGCTGCTACATTGTACAGTCCCTGACTTTTTAGTGATTGATGTTAGCTCTTCATTTGTATTGTTTGGGAACCAGCCCAGGGTTTCTAGAAACAAAAAGTGTTAGCTGAAACTTTTTTTTCATGATATGGTTAAACTCCTGTCTGCATTTTGTAGACCTCGATGGCAATGGCTCCATCTGTGACTACGAGCTCCATGATCTGTTCAAGGAGGCAAACCTTCCCCTGCCTGGCTACAAAGTCAGGGAGATCATCCAGAAGCTGGATCGCAACAAGGACAACAAGATCAGCTTTGACGAGTTTGTGTCAGTGAGTTGGGGGGGGGGGGGGGGGGTCGTCGAGAGAGGAGACTTTCGCAGTAATCGAAATCAGCGGTACTATTAAAAAAAAAAAAAAAACACCTTAAGACTAGTCAGGTAGAACGCATGAGAAATAGAAATGAGAAGAACACGAGTAAGTAAGCTATATACAGGGTCGATACAAATACCATATTTGGGGGGTAATTTGACTAGGCATCAGGATGTATGCTAAACAGAGTAGCAGTTCCACGGAGGGCTGAGTGTCTGAAGGTTTTTGCTCCTCCCTTGTACTTCATTGATGAATTTAAAGTCACTAATTAGTAAAGAACTCCTCTCACCTGGTTGTCTGTCTTAATTGAAAGGGGAAAAACCCACAGACACTAGGCCCTCCATGGAATGAGTTTGACACTCCTTGTGTAGAGTAGGGCTCTCCAGGAACATATTTGAAGAGCCCTGGTGTAGAGTGTGTGTATAGACTGCAAAAATAAAATAGAATGCTCAATGCAGATAGTCCATGTAGCCATTTTTGTTAGCTATTTAGTAGTCTAATGGCTTGGGGGTAGAAGCCGTTCAGGAGCCTGTTGGTGTCAGATTTGATACTCCGGGACCATTTGCTGTGCGGAAGCGGAGAGAACAGTCTGTGGCTGGAGACTTAAATTGTCCAGGCCTTCCTTTCACACCGCCTGATATAGAGGTACTGGATGGCAGGGAGCTCGGCCCAGTGATGTGCTGACCGCACCACGCTTTGTAGCGATCGAGGGCGGTACAGTTGCCATACCAAGCAGTGATGCAGTCAGTCAAGATGCTCTCAATGGTGCAGCTGTACAACTTTTTGAGGATTTGAGGGCCCATGCCAAACCTTTTCAGCCTCCTGAGGAAGAGGCACCATCGTCACGTCTATTTGCATGCGTGCGTGTGGACCATTTTAAGTCCTTAGTGATTTGGACACTGAGCAACTTGAAGCTCTCGACCCGCTCCACTGCAGCCCCGTATGTGGATCGGGGCGTGCTCGCCACCCCCCTCTTTCCTGTAGTCCACCATCAGCTCCTCAGTCTTACTGACGTTGAGGGAGAGGTTGTCACTGACCTCATCCCTGTAGGCTCTCATCGTCGCCGGTGATCAGACCTACCACCGTTGTGTCGTCAGCAAACTTGATGGTGTGTGGCCAGTACTGGGAGAACAGGAGGGGACTAGGCACACCCCTGTGGGGCCCCTGTGTTGAGGGTTATTGTGGTGGTGATGTTGCCTACCCTCACCACCTGGGGTCGGCCCGTCAGGAAATCCAGGATTCAGTTGCAGAGGGAGGTGTTCAGTCCCAAGCTTGGTGATGAGCTTGGAGGGGACTGATCTGTAGTCAATGAACAGCGTTCTCACATGGGTATTCCTCTTATCTAGGTGAGTGAGGGCAGTGTGGCGTGCACTTGAGATTGCATTGTCTATGGTTCTGTTGGGGTGGAATGCAAAGTGGACTGGGTCTGGGGTGATTTGCGTTGTGTGCCATAACCAGCCTTTGTCAGAGTTGGTGTCAGCAGGTCAAGTTTGGCGCATTTGTTCCAGTTGGTCAGGGACTTCTTGTTGGGAGGGCTACCTATCCCTCTGATTAAGGGAACCATCTTTTGTCTCCTTTGTAAAATCAAGTGAGGTTTAATTCCCTTTGCATTGACCATTCTATTTTATTTTTCACATGAATTTCAGATAGTCCATGTAGCCAGTTTGTTAGCTATTTAGCAGTCTTATTTCTCTCTTAACCCCTAACCCTATTTTTAACCCTAATTCCTAAGCCTAAAATGGTCTTAAGTGAGGACTAGCAAAATGTCCTCAATTTTAGTTGAGTACTTCTGGTACTCACAAGTATAGTAAAATGTGTGTGGCGGGTACACACAAATTAGGTCAGAATAGTGGTGTTCCCGTATCTTGTTTTACCCGTGATGAGAGGACTGTAATTTAGTGCTAGTCTCCATTTTGAGTAATGATGTGACATCTGGCATCCCAGAAGGGAAAAAAAACTAATTCAATCTATTTAAGGCCATTTCTCATAGCTCAATTATTATTATTTTTTTGGGGGGGGGCATAATTTTTATATCCCGAATATTCAGCCTCTTTTGTATGGGTTAGCCTAGCCACAGTTGTGGTGTTATGTCAGAAAGGGGCTGTGATATTTTTTTTGTTGCTATAATGGATTACATTATTTTTTTAATGTTGAGATTAACATGAACGATATCCATTCATTGAAAGCAAATGAAATCACAAATGCCTTATTTATGAAGGGAAATGCATTCTATTGTGGTTACCATGGGCTTTGCTTATCTACAGTGCATGAGCAATGTAAGCTAGCTAACGCCACATGATCCTATGTTTGTGCTGTTGTGGCATACTTTTAACATGTCACTCAATACCAGACTGAGTAGCTGGTGACCACTCAGACTACTGAGATCAGCAGGTGTCAGGTCAGAGATTATACACGTTAGGGCCTGTGAATACAAAAACCTTGATTTACTTGACTCAAACTTTGGCTCCTGTATGGATTATAGGCCATTGACAAATGTCTTTCTAACCCAACATACACCCCCCCCCATATCCTTATTGCACAAAACATTTCCTCTGGCCATTCAGCATACATTATCTCATAATATGTTGACTTCTTACAAAGGAGGATCAAATGTTTGGTACAGAGGCACTTAGCTTTCTGGTAAACACTGGTGTTTTTGTTACCATATGGCCTGTCCCCAGTGAGAACCTTACTGAATAGAATGGCAGCTAACAGACTTTCTGTTTTGACTCGTGCAACTGACTCTGGAGATGACGACGCAATTCCTTTTTACACAGATAATGCTAATTTATATTGACTGAGCCTAACGTAAGCATAAATGTATTAGGATCTTGAAGAGGGAAGTCATGACTTGTGGGAGCTTAAATGCACTTCGCCCTCTACGGCAGATCTTCCAGGACTTGAAGAGCAGTGACATTGCCAAAAGCTTTCGGAAGGCCATTAACAGGAAGGAGGGAATCCTGGCCATAGGGGGGACATCTACGCAGTCCAGCGAGGGAACACAACACTCCTTCTCTGGTGAGCTGCTCACTGCATCTCCTACCACTTCTACTAATGTCATTACATTACAGTATGTTGTACTGTGTATACGTAGGCTCTTTGATTTAATCTAGGGGAATCTTACTCATTAATTTAGGTAGATACCCCGTCTATCTCTAATCTCATAGTGGATTGATTAGTCAATCGAAAACAATAACTGGGTTTCTGGGATGTCATAGAAAATATTATTCCTGTGTAGTGAGAAACCATGTGTATGAAGCAGTGGCTGCTCCTCAGAGGAGGAAGGGGAGGACCATCGGTGAATTTCATAAAGTGAAACATTTAAAGCGACAATTTTTAGATAAAACTATACTAAATATACACCACCAAATAATTGATTAAAACACACTGTTTTCCAATGAAGGTCTACAGTAGCCTCAACAGCACTCTGTAGTGTAGCACCACGGTGTAGTTGTAGGACAGCTAGTTTCTGTCCTCTGGGTACATTGACTTCAATACAAAACCTTGTATTGGCTCTTGGTTTTCACCCCCTTCCATAGACTTACACAGTAATTATTCAGGAGGACGTCCTCCAACCTATCAGAGCTCTTGCAGCATGAACTGACATTTTGACCATCCATCAAAGGATCGGATAATTAATATAGTACTGAAAGCATAAGCTACAGATGGCTAGCAGTGCATAGAATGTGATGAGTAGTTGTCTCAGACAATAATTGAACAGTTTTGAACAATAATTTTCTTGAAAAATTAGTGAGTGGGAGAGCGAGAGATTTAGCTAGCTAATTTAGCCTACTCAAACACCTGAGGGGGCTGCTATGTTAGCTAGCTGGCTATGGCTATCCAACACTGGAACTTTTCCAAGTCAAGTTAAGCATTTGGTTTTATTAATTTATTGCCACTGGGGCCTGCCGGTGTACATTATATTATAGTAATTTAGCAGACGCTCTTATCCAGAGCGACTTAGTTAGTAAGTGCATACTTTTTTTTCGTACTGGTCCCCCGTGGGAATCGAACCCACAACCCTGGCATTGCAAACGCCATGCTCTACCAACTGAGCTACACGGTAACTGCTAAAGTGCTTGCTGACTGTACTGCATGATTGTATTGGGTTTATGAATGTGTTAGTTCTATTAGCAATGTTGACTATGACGTTATATAATATGGTAACAACTATGTAGGCTGTGTCTAGTGGTTATGATATGAAGGTTTGGCTTGGAAAGGCTTTTTTCGCCTGGTCAGACAGCTGAGGTGTTGTGCACTGAAGTCCACAAGCGAAGGGAAAAGGTGAGAGGAGGAGCGTGTTGCTGCGAGAAGGAATTACAACAGGCAAAGTGATCATGCTGTTTGTATGTGGCTGCTATGAAAGTGAACTGTGTTTGTGTGATCAGGGGTGTATTCATTCCGCAGATTCTGTTGAAACACGTTCCTTAAACGGAACGGGGATAAACATAACTGAATTTGTCCAATAGAAACTCTTGTTTGCAACTTGTACTAATGATTACGCCCTAGATCAGCTAGATGCAGGCAAGCGTGTGCAAGGCGGTGTTTAATAATAATAATAATATGCCATATAGCAGACGCTTTTATCCAAAGCGACTGGCAGTCATGCGTGCATACATTTTTTTTGTGTACGGGTGGTCCCGGGGATCGAACCCACTACCTTGGCGTTACAAGCGCCATGCTCTACCAGCTGAGCTACAGAGGCTGTCACCCTGATTACTAAAGATTCTCAACTTGTGCACCTACATTGTAAACTTTCATTCATAGGCTAGGTTGTAGCAACCTCATGATGGGTGTAGGGAAATTTGAGTGTCATGTAGTAGCCTAAATCTATCGACGTTACCTGGAGCTGGGTGAATGGAATATGAATGACAGTCATCCAATATGCTGAAATAAGGCCATGCTCATAAAATGTTTTATCGTCCTCCTTCATCTTAAACTGCACTGACCGCCACTGGTATGACGTGGTGCTGGTTGTTGGCTGAGTCTTTCCCTGTGCTGCCCTATGCAGAGGAGGAGCGGTACGCGTTTGTCAACTGGATCAACACAGCGCTGGAGAATGACCCTGACTGCAAGCACGCCCTGCCCATGGACCCCAACTCAGACTCCCTCTTCAAGGCCCTGGGCGACGGCATCGTTCTCTGGTGAGACCATAGATTTATATAATTGTGTTCTACATAATTAGGCCCTTCAAGCCTTACAGACCCTAACACAGCTATTTTTCCTTACACGTTTTGGTTTGAAATGGGGCATACCTGTGTCTTCCAACATTAGGACCCCTCATAAACCAGCTGTTTGTTTTTATGTGCTCCATGTAGTAAAATGATCAACCTGTCGGTGCCAGACACGATTGACGAGAGGACCATAAACAAGACTAAGCTGACACCGTTCACAATACAGGTCCTTACAAACTCAACCAAACTGGTCATATACTGTAGTTGACTTGAGTGATTGTTAGATTTAGCCATTCCACCCCATGCTGTTTTGAGGAAGGAAGCTATTGTGTAGATATAATTTGTCATCTCTGTTTATGTACATAATATGGGAGGCCCTGTTTTTCTCTTTCCTGCACGGACTTCAAAACAGTTTCTGTTCGTCCTACAGGAGAATCTGAACCTGGCTCTGAACTCTGCCTCTGCCGTTGGCTGCCACGTGGTGAACATCGGGGCTCTGGACCTTAGGGAGGGGAAGCCCCACCTGGTGCTGGGCCTGCTGTGGCAGATCATCAAGATCGGCCTTTTCGCTGACATCGAGCTCAGCAGGAATGAAGGTGAGGGACTTTCACAGCACAATCATGGTCTTGGTGACTCATGAACCTGGTATTCATCATGTTATGATGGATATTTTTGTTTGCTTTTCTATTTACCAACTTCTATGTTTGTGCTTTTCTATAAACCAATTTCTGTGTTCATGCAAGTGACGGAACGAATTCTCACTATCAGTATCTGTAATTTGGCAGTATGCCCAGAACCTTGTTTAGAGAAAGGGATATCTCAGTTTCATGGTCTCAGTTTAGAGAGAAGAAGCCTTGTGAGGTATTGGTCGGTCACATGCATGACCCAGTATTGGTCGTCACATGAATGAAGCAAACATTAATTATGAATGATGAATAAGCTAAATCATGCAAATATAACTTGTGAGTATATAAGGGAACTAAAGGGACTGCCCCGTTAGAGCTCCTGACAGACATTCACTATGGTGCATTAAGTTTGTTGGAACCTCTCCAGTGCGCTGACAATAAACAATGATTCATTTAAGATTGACTTTGAGTGTCCCTGTGAGAATTTCCACGTGTTATTCCTCATCACGGTACATTTACCCATTACAAGGCGCAAAGGTGTCTTTCCTTTTTGTCACAACATTGTGACGTTGAGCTAGTCTGTCCTCAGTGTTGGAGTGGCTTTTCCTGGCTAAAGACCTCTCTGGTCCGTGAGTGTTGCGGTGAGTAGCTGACCGTATGTCCTGTGGCCCCGTCTCCTCAGCCCTGGCTGCTTTGCTGAGGGATGGAGAGACCCTGGAGGACTTGATGAAGTTGTCTCCAGAGGAGCTGCTGCTGCGCTGGGTTAACTTCCACCTGGAGAACGCTGGCTGGGAGAAAATCAATAACTTCAGCTCGGACATCAAGGTATGGATATGTACAGTGCCTTCAAAGTATTCACACCCCTTTACTTTTTCCACATTTTGTTACAAAGTGAAATTAAAACCGAAATTATTTTTTTTATTGTAATTTTGTTAGTGATCTACACTTCTGTCAATGTGGAAGAAAAATTCTAACCTTTTGAAAAAAGGAAAAATATAACACTATCTTGATTTAGATATGTATTGACTCAGGTGGTTGAATACTTGTTAAAATCACCTTTGGCAGCTATTACAGCTGTGAGTCATTATGGGAAAGTCTCTCAGCTTTACACACCTGGATTGTGCAAATTCTTCAAGCTCTGTCAAATTGGTTGTTGATCATTGCAAGACAACCATTTACAGGTCTTGCAAAAGATTTTCAAGCAGATTAGTCAAAACTGTTAGTCTAGTGTCCTGCTGAAAGGTGAATTCATCTCCCAGTGTCTGGAATGCAGACTGTACCAGGTGTTTGAAAATTATGGAGAGTGGTACTCAGTAATGTGTTGTCTTGGATTTGCCCCATACAAAACACTTTGTATTCGGGACAAAAAGGGAATTGCTTTGTCACATTTTTTGCAGTATTACTTTAGTGCGTTGTTGCAAACAGGATGCATGTTTTGGAATATTTTTATTCTGTACAGGTTTCCTTTTCACTCTGTCAATTAGGTTAGTATTGTGGAGTAACTACAATGTTGATCCATCCTCAGTTTTCTCTTATCACAGCCATTAAACTCTGTAACTGGCCTCATGGTGAAATCTCTGAGCGGTTTCCTTCCTCTCTGACAACCGAGTTAGGAAGGACGCCTGTTTAATAACTTGACCATGCTCAAGGGGAATTTCAATGTCTTCTTTTCTATTTTTAGCCATCTACCAATAGGTGTCCTTTGTGAGGTATTGGAAAATCTTTGTGGTTGAATCAGTTTGAAATTCACTGCTCGACTGAGGGCCCTTACAATTATCTGTATGTGTGGGGTACAGAGATGAGGTAGTCATTCAAAACCATGTTAAACAAAGTGAGTCCATGCAACTTATTATGTGACTTGTTAAGCACATTTTTACTCCTGAACTTATTTAGGCTTGCCATAACAAAGGGGTTGAATAGTTATTGAATCAAGACATTTCAGCTTTTCATTTTTAATTAATTTGTGAAAATGTCAAACATAATTCCACTTTGACAGTATGGGGTATTGCCAGTGACGACAAATCTCAATTTAATCACTTTAAATTAACGCTGTAATGCAACAAAATGTGGATAAAGTCAAGGGGTGTGAATACTTTCTGAAGGCACTGTCTATGGTTTGTTTACTGTTTCTATATGGTTAATAAAGTGTAATACTATTCTGTTGTCCTCACAAAGAAGTAGTGGAACAATAGCTAAATAAAATGATTAAGACTCAAACAAGGCTTTATCCAAATCTGGACTCTTAACCTTCTATTCTTTCAAAGCGTACAATTCTTTGCTGGAAAGTGTTTTCATGCCTGTGCTTTATATTTCTGACTATCTTTTCTTTATCGGACAGACTTTTCAACCTGTAAAGGTACTTCATAGATCAACTTCCTTACTGTATAGGAATTGACAATAGCTTCATACATGTGTCAAGGTCATTGTACTGTATTAATATTTTAATTTTCTGTCATGGTCATTGCATACCTGTCCATTGTGTCTTGTGTTCCCATGTGGCCTGCACAACCTTGTATCCCAGTGTGCTTGTTTCCAATGCTAAGATTCAAACAAGATGTCGGTCTCTCTGTTTCAGGACTCCAGAGCCTATTTCCACCTCCTCAACCAAATCGCCCCCAAATACACAGAGGAAGACCAGCCACACACAGACATCAGCATGGCAGGCTTCAGTGTAAGCACCTTTACGGAGAATATACAAATTCCATACACAGATAACCTGAGACCATTGATTTAACATGGCTAAGAAAATTGAGGGCTACATGAAATGTGTCCTTAGCATGAACCTGTGGTGTCTATGTCCTGTAGGAGATGGATGACCTGAAGAGGGCAGAGAACATGCTTCAGCAGGCTGACAGGCTGGACTGTCGTCAGTTTGTCACCCCAACCGACGTAGTCTCTGGCAACCCCAGACTCAACCTGGCCTTTGTGGCCAATGTCTTCAACAAGTACCCGTCTCTCACCAAGCCTGAGGGAGAGGGAATCGACTGGGGGCTGCTGGAAGGTGGGTGCTGAGCTAGTCTGTTGGTCATGAGGTTGCTGTGTGGATTCTGTCCAGTGTACATTGTATTCCCTGAGACCCTAAAATCACCCCACATCTCTATTTTCTATTTAGGTGAGACACGAGAAGAGAGAACATTCAGGAACTGGATGAATTCCCTGGGCGTGAACCCACATGTCAATCATCTGTATGGGTATGTACCAAATGCAACTAATGACTTGCATGGAAAATTAACATGCCAATGACATACTGCTGATAACATGCTCCCTACCAGTGGTATTCATACACAGGGTCAGGTTTCTTTATTTATTATCAAGTATCAAGGAGTAACCTATATAACTAATATCTTTACTCTATAGAGACCTAGCAGACGCCTTGGTCATCCTCCAGCTTTATGAAAAGACAAAAGTACCCGTCGACTGGACGAACAAAGTCAACAAGCCACCATATCCCAAGATTGGGACAAACATGAAAAAGGTTGACTATATTCTCAATCCATTTTCCTCCATTTATTTTTTACTTTGAAAGAATGCAAAATGATGATCATACTGCATAATTGACTATTTCTGTCTTCAACTATTCAGAAGCTCATAGAGCAAAATCACACCGCTCAAATTCCAGTTCTGGATAGAGACTAACGTCATGTTTCTCTTATAATATAATATAATATGCCATTTAGCAGACGCTTTTATCCAAAGCGACTTACAGTCATGCGTGCATACATTTTGTTTGTTTGTGTATGGGTGGTCCCGGGGATCGAACCCACTACCTTAGCGTTACAAGCGCTGTGCTCTACCAGCTGAGCTACAGAGGACCACTCTTAATTCCTACTGTGTTTTGTCTGCTCTCTCAGTTGGAGAACTGCAACTATGCAGTGGATCTGGGGAAGACGATGGCCAAGTTCTCTCTGGTTGGCATCGGTGGGCAGGACCTGAACGATGGCAACGCCACCCTGACGCTGGCTCTGCTGTGGCAGCTCATGAGGAGGTGAGTCTTAGCACATGCTTAGATCAAGATGTAACATACCTTTACTGCTTCTCAGTAAATCAGGGTCATAAGAGAAGGCAGCATAGGGCAAAATGTTTTGTAAACCTGGACCTCAGGCAACAGCACTGGAATATTGTTCATGTTAGTTCTTAAGCAGATCTTGATAAATAAGTTGATTTTATTTTTCATTTACTCTTGCCTGACCTTCAGTGATTGCCTGCTGACCACTGCTGAGTGCCCCAGAAACTGATCAATATTCTAGCTAACGCTTGACATCTCTCCTAGATATACGCTGAATGTACTGGAGGACTTGGGAGATGGACAGATGGCTAATGATGACATCATTGTCAAATGGGTCAATACAACCTTGTCAGAAGCGGGGAAAACAACAAAGATCTCAAGCTTCAAGGTTTGTCAAGCTTTATTGATATATTTAGGTTATATTTTAAATAAATGCATTTCTTTGTTACCGTAATTTTCGGACTATAAGCCGCGCCTTTTTTCCCATTTTTCGACCCTGCGGCTTATATAACGGTGCGGCTAATCTATGGATTTTTACAGCTAACGGCCACTAGAAGACCTCCTAAATCTATGGATTTTACAGGTTACAGTCCACCAACTTTAACTCTATGGGCTCTATGACCGGTCCGCGCCCCCCACCTTTAAGCGGCGGGCTCCAGCAGGAAAAGCTGGAGGCCGGAAAAGAGTGAGACAGGTAGCGCGCAAAAGTGGAACCGAGAGTGGTACGAGAGACAGAACGAGAGACAGAACGAGAGCAAGACAGACAGACATTACGAGAGCGAGACAGTTTGTCTCTTTCCCGACAATCCCCTCTGTGCATGAACCCTTACATATGGTAATTAAACATTAAAACACCTGCGGCTTATAGTCCAGTGCGGCTTATATGTACACATCATTCAATATCATTCAATTTAGCTGCTGCGGCTTATACTCCGGTGCGCCTTATAGTGCAGAAAATACGGTAGTTATTTGACATAGAAAGTTTTAGTATGCATCTATGTTCTGTAGTGATATTCAGTCAATACCTCCAATCAGCAGACCTAATCTGTGACATACCACAAATTCTGACACTACTTGAGCTGATTTGTGAAGCAGGTATTTGACACTGTCTTCTCCCCTTGATTGTCAGGACAAGGAGATCAGCACCAGTTTACCAGTGGTGGACCTGATTGATGCCATCCAACCTGGCAGCATCAGCTATGACCTGGTCAAGACTGGCAGCCTGGCAGCTGAGGACAAGCTGGATAATGCCAAGTAAGACTTCCACTGATGAACGTGTCCAGACAAACTTTGATATGGATTAGTGACCTGTAAGACACTAATTCAAGCTTCAATTACTTCTTGGTTTTTGCTATACTTCCTGTTAAAAACATGAAATATGGGGGGTTGCGAGAAGTACAGTGCCTTCAGAAAGTATTCACACCCCTGGACTTTCTCCACATTTTGTTGTTACAGCCTGAATTTGAAATGGATTAAATTGAGATTGTCACTGGGCTACACACAATACCCCATAATATCAAAGTGAAAATATGTTTAATTTTTCTTTTACAAATGAATTAAACATGAAAAGCTGAAACGTCTTTAGTCCATAAGTATTCAACCCCTTTGTTATGGCAAGCCTAAATACGTTCAGGAGTAAAAATGTGCTTAACAAGTCACATAATAAGTTGCATGGACTTACTGTGTTCAATAATAGTGCTTAACATGATTTTTGAATGACTACCTAATCTTTTTTATCCCAAACATACAGATAATTGTAAGGTCCCTCAGTCGAGCTGTGAATTTCAAACAGATTCAACCCAAAGACCAGGGAGATTTTCCAATGCATTGCAAAGAAGGGCACCTATTGGTAGATGGGTAAAAATAATAAAAGCAGACATTGAATATCCCTTTTGAGCATGGTGAAGTTATTAATTACACTTTGGATGGTGTATCAATACACCCAGTCAATAAGATACAGGCATCCTTCCTAACTCAGTTGCAGGAGAGGAAGGAAACCACTCAGGGATTTCACCAGAGGCCAATGGTGACTTCAAAACAGAGTTTAATGGCTGTGATGTGAGAACTGAGGATGGATCAACATTGTAGTTACTCCACAATACTAACCTAATTGACAGAGTGAAAAGAAGGAAGCCTGTACAGAATAAAATATTTCAAAACAGAGTCCTGTTAGCAACAAGGCACTAAAGTAATACTGCAAAAAATGTGGCAAAGCAATTTACTTTTTGTCCTGAATCCAAAGCGTTATGTTTGGGGCAAATACAACATTACTGACTCGGTACCCCTCTCCATATTTTCAAGCATAGTGGTGGCTGCATTATGTTATGGGTCTACTTGTCATCGTTAAGGACTGGGGAGTTTTTCAGGATAAAAATAAACGGAATGGAGCTAAGCACAGATAAAATCCTAGAGGAAACCCTGGTTAAGTTTGCTTTCCACCATACACTGAGAGATGACTTCACCTTTCAGCAGGACAATAATCTAAAACACAAGGCCAAATCTACACTGGAGTTGCTTCCCAAGAAGACTGTGAATGTTCCAGAGTGGCTGAGATAGTTAAGTTATATCTACTTGAAAATCTGTGGCAAAACCTGACTGGTTGTCTAGCAATGATCAACAACCAATTTGACAGCTTGAAGAATTTTTTAAAAATTATATGAATGGGCAAGTGTTGCAGGCTTTCCACACCTGGATTGTGCAGCATTGGCCGTGCAGCATTTACGGTGATATGGCCTCTGCAGAAGTCAGGACATTCATACTTCTTGCGCTTCGCGGAGCAGCACAGAGCTGTTGAGCAGAGCTGTTGTCAAGGAAGTGCGTTAGTTTATACAGTGCATTCGGAAAGTGTTCAGACCCCTTGACTTTTTCCACATTTTGTTACATTACAGCCTTATTCTAGAATGGATTAAATAGTTTCCCCCCCTCAATCTACCCACAATACCCCAGGTTTTTAGGAGTGTTGCTAATTTATTACAAATAAACTGAAATATCACATTTTACATAAGTATTCAGACACTTTACTCAATACTTTGTTGAAGCACCGTTGGCTGCGATTATAGCCTCAAGTCTTCTTGGGTATGATGCTACAAGCTTGGCACACCTGCATTTGGGGAGTTTCTCCCATTTCTTCTCTGCAGATCCTCTCAAGCTCTGTCAGGATGGATGGGGAGCGTCGCTGCAGAGCTATTTTTATGTCTCTCCAGAGATGTGCGATTGGGTTCAAGTCTGGGCTCTAGCTGGGCCACTCGTCCTGAAGCCACTCCAGTGTCGTCTTGGTTGTGTGCTTAGGGTCGTTGTCCTGTTGGAAGGTGAACATTCGCCCCAGTCTGAGGTCCTGAGCGCTCTGGAGTAGGTTTTCATTAAGGATCTCTCTGTACTTTCCTACGTTCATCTTTCCCTCGATCCTGACTAGTCTCCCAGTCCCTGCTGCTGAAAAACATCCCCACAGCATGATGCCGCCACCACGTTTCAACGTAGGGATGGTGCCAGGTTTCCTCCAGACGCAACGCTTGGCATTCAGGCCAAAGAGTTCAATCTTGGTTTCATCAAACCAGAGAATCTTGTTTCTCATGGTCAGTCCTTTAGGTGCCTTTTGGCAAACTGCAAGCGGGCTGTCATGTGCCTCCCACTGAAGAGTGGCTTCCATCTGGCCACTCTACCATAAAGGCCTGATTGGTGGAGTGCTGCAGAGATGGTTGTCCTTCTGGAAGGTGCTCCACAGAGGAGCTCTGTCGGAGTGACCATCTGGCGCTTTGTCACCGCCCTGATTGCTCAGTTTGGCCAGGCGGCCAGCTCTAGGAAGAGCCTTGGTGGGTCCAAACTTCTTCCATTTAAAAATGGAGGCCACTGTGTTCTTGGACCTTCAATGCTGCAGAAATGTTTTGGTACCCTTCCCCAGATCTGTGCCTCGACACAATCCTGTCTCGGAGCTCTACGTACAATTCCTTCAACCTCATGGCTTGGTTTTTGCTCTGACATGCACTGTCAACTGTGGGACCTTGTACAGACAGGTGTGTGCCTTTCCAAATCATGTCCAATCAATTGAATTTACCGCAGGTGGACTCCAAGTTGTAGAAACATCTCAAGGATGATCAATGGAAACAGGATGCACCTGAGCTCAATTTCGAGTCTCATAGCAAAGAGTCAGAATACAAACATTTCTTCTTTTTTTCACATAAAAAACGGTTTTCGCTTTGTCATTATGGGGTATTGTGTGTAGATTGAGTGGGGGTAAACAATAATTAATCCATTTTAGAATAAGGCTGTAATGTAACAATGTGGAAAAAGTCAAGGGGCATGAATACTTTCCGAATGCACTGTACAGGACCTCCCGCCCCACCTACTGTCAACCAATAATGTCAATACAGAGCTATATGGAGCCCTCCGCATAGTTACAAAATTTGGGAGCCGTACGGCGATGCAGTACGGAGCTCAATTTGGCCTCTGCGTGTCTCCGCAGGCTCCGCAATTGCGTCACACCCTCCATAGGAAGCCTCTGACCACATTTTCAGATCAAGAATAAATTGGCTTTTACCCAGAGACTCACAGCTGTAATCGCTGCCAAAGGGGCTTATACACAAAGTATTAACTCAGGGGTGTGAATACTTATATATTTCATTTTCAAAAATGTCTGAAGATGTTTTCACTGTCATTATGGTGTATTGTGTGTAGATGGGTGAGTAAATTGTTTTCCATTTTGAATTCAGGCTGTAACACAACAATGTGGAGTAAGTTGAGGTGTATGAATACTTTGAAGGCACTTTATATATTCAGAAGTCATACGTATGAATATTCAACAAATGGTGATCAATATTAAATGAAACTACCTATTTCCGCTCTTAGATATGCCGTTTCCATGGCGAGGAAGATCGGGGCGCGTGCCTACGCTCTCCCAGATGACCTGGTGGAGGTCAAGCCCAAGATGGTAATGACAGTGTTTGCATGCTTGATGGGCCGGGGGATGAAGTGGTCTTAACCGACTGGCTGTGCCACTTTGGCATCGGCAAACTACCCACAAACCATTTGCTTGATGAAGGGCCACCCGGGAATGAAGAAAGACGTGGAAGAAAATGTTTGCTAACAGACATTTGAGACCCTAAAATTTTGCGTGTTGGTATTTCAACCTAGTTTTGAACAGCAGTATGTTTACTACAAAATATTGTGCAATCTTATTTAAGGTAAGCCCATAACATAATGTTTCTGAAGAAGACTAGGCCTGTTAGAGGATAACTTGGTATGTTACTTTTCAATATGCAACACTCCATTCACCTTTCAGAATGCTGTATGTTATAAGTGTATTTTTCCAGTTAACGTGTTTCTGAGTATTTTTACTCTGTTACGACTATGCTTGATGTTTATACTACAATACATATTCATAACATCCCTTACACAGTGGCTAGCCATCTTTAACTTGGTTAAACTGAAATGGTGGAGGTTTAGATGTTGAACTCTGCCCTATTGAAATGCATGCATCTCTTGACAGAAGACATAAGGTCAAACCTTTGTAATGACCTGTATTTACTTAACTTGTTTTTTCAATTCTGGTAGCTAGTAAGCTGAGAGCAGCTGGGTGTCTTGTCTGGCATTTTTGTATTGGACTAAAGGTTTGTCTTATTACTCTGGAAGAAACCGAGGGAGCTCACTGACAGTGTTCAGTTTCCTTGGTTGTGCCTTTTTTTTGTCTTGACGCTATATTCTGTTGCACATTAAGGTTTCCACTTATTATTTTGTTTTGTATTCAACATTACCAAAAAATATAGCCTGAACAATTTCTGCATTCCAGATAGCGGCATTATATTTCATAGTTACCATACCAATGCGTTTTGGTCTTGTGTGTAAATGTTTACTCTGAAGTGCTTTATACATCAAGGAAACAAATAAAATGAACTTGCATAAATATCTGCTTTTTCTTTGTACCTAGGCCTACATTTATACTGCACAAAACTATAAATGCAACAATTTAAAAGATTTTACTAGGTTACAGTTTATATAAGGAAATGAATACATTACACATGACTGGGAATACAGATGTGCATCTGTTGGTCACAGAACTTTTAAAGTAGGGGCGTGGCTCAGAAAACCAGTCAGTGTCTGGTGTGACCACTATTTGCCTCATGCAGTGTGACATTTCCTTCGCATAGAGTTGATCAGGCTGTTGATTGTGGAATGTTGTCCCACTCCTCTTCAATGGCTGTGTGAAGTTGCTGGCTATTGGCGGGAACTGGAACACTGTCGTACACGTCAATCCAGAGTATCCCAAACATGCTCAATGGGTGACATGTCTGGTGTGTATGCAGGCCATTGAACTGGGACATTCAGATTCCAGAAATTGTGTACAGATCCTTGCGACATTATCATGCTGAAATGAGGTGATGGGGGGGGCGGATGAATGGTACGACAATGGGCCTCAGGATTTCGTCACGGTATCTCTGCATTCAAATTGCCATAGATAAAATGCAATTGTGTTCGTTGTCTGTCGCTTATGCCTGCCCATACCGTAACCCCACCGCCAAAATGGGGCACTCTGTTCACAACGTTGACATCAGCAAATCGCTCGCCCACACGACACCATACACGTGGTCTGCGGTTGTGAGGCTGGTTGGATGTACTGCCAAATTCTCTAAAATGTTGTTGGAGGCAGCTTATGTTAGAAATTAACATTCAATTATCTGGCAACTGCTCTGGTGGACATTCCTGCAGCCAGCATTTCAATTGCATTCTCCCTCAACTTAAGACATCTGTGGCATTGTGCTGTGACAAAACTGCACATTTTAGTGGCCTTTTATTGTCCCCAGCACAAGGTGCACCTGTGTAATGATCATGCTGTTTAATCAGCTTCTTGATAGGATGGATTATCTTGGCAAAGGAGAAATGCTCACTAACAGGGATGTAAACAAACATGTGCACCAAATTTGAGAAGCTTTTTGTGTGTGAAACATTTCTGGGATCTTATTTCAGCCCATGGAAAATGAGACCAGCACTTTTACATGTTGTGTGTTTGTTTAGTGTACAATACATTGTGGAACCTTATTTCAGCCGTGGTCATAAAGTATTTGTCCCTTGACAAGCATACATAACATTAGCATAGTGATTGGTTATGTTTCCCTGTGATCATTGTGTGCTGTGGGAGGTCTGAAGGAATGTATGCTCTGTGGACTGTCTCTTTCTGCAGGCTAATCTCTACAGTCTGTGGAGGGAAAGGGTGACATGGTCATACCACCCTAGGATTTTCACTACAGTGCAGTTGTCCTATTTACCCAAATACATTTGCTTATTTTCTCCAGATACCAGCATGCTCTAGTTGCTTGCATTCACAAGTTTCAATCCATACAGTAACAGTAGGCTGCTGTACTTAAGTGCAACTCTGTCACCATGGTACCTAATGCCGATCTAACTTCTGTGTTAGTCGGATGCATGTATTCTCCATCCATACAGAGGTGCTTTAGTTTTGGTGGAGTAGTGATTAATCCGTGGGGAACCCAGATAGCAGATCATTGGACGCTGTTCAGTAGTCTGAATCCTGAACAGATTCTGAGAATGCTCTCAGCCACGAGCCCCTCAGGCTTTCTAAGCACTACTCTGACTGTCTGCCACAGTCTGTCAGAGAGCTCTGTGAGGGAGAAAGATGAGATGAGGGGATGGCAGACAGCTTTGGCTCTCATGGGCTTCATTATCTGGACTTACAGGCACTAAATCCTACATTGGGGAGTCTCTACAGTCGTGGTCAAAAGTTTTGAGAATGACACAAATACTAATTTTCACAGTCTGCTGCCTCAGTTTTGATGGCAATTTGCATATACTCCAGAATGTCATGAGTGATCAGATTAATTGCAATTAATTGCAAAGTCCCTCTTTGCCATGAAAATGAATTTAATCCCAAAAAAACATTTCCACTGCATTTCAGCCCTGCCACAAAAGGACCAGCTGACATCATGTCAGTGATTCTCTCGTTAACACAGGTGAGAGTGTTGACGAGGACAAGGCTGGAGATCACTCTGTCATGCTGATTGAGTTAGAATAATAGACTGGAAGCTTTAAAAGCAGGGTGGTGCTTGAAATCATTGTTCTTCCTCTGTTAACCATGGTTACCTGCAAGGAAACACGTGCCGTCATTGCTTTGCACAAAAAGGGCTTCACAGGCAAGGACATTGCTGCTAGTAAGATTGCACCTAAATCAACCATTTATTGGATCATCAAGAACTTCAAGGAGAGAGGTTCAATTGTTGTGAAGAAGGCATCAGGGCGCCCAAGAAAGTCCAGCAAGCGGCAGGACCGTCTCCTAAAGTTGATTCAGTTGCGGGATCGGCACCACCAGTGCAGAGCTTGCTCAGGAATGGCAGCAGGCAGGTGTGAGTGCATCTGCACACACAGTGAGGCGAAGACTTTTGGAGGATGGCCTGGTGTCAAGAAGGGCAGCAAAGAAGCCACTTCTCGCCAGGAAAAACATCAGGGACAGACTGATATTCTGCAAAAGGTACAGGGATTGGACTGCTGAGGACTGGGGTAAAGTCATTTTCTCTGACGAATCCCCTTTCCGATTGTTTGGGGCATCCGGAAAACACCTTGTCCGGAGAAGACAAGGTGAGCGCTACCATCAGTCCTGTGTCATGCCAACAGTAAAGCATCCTGAGACCATTCATGTGTGGGGTTGCTTCTCAGCCAAGGGAGTGGGCTCACTCACAATTTTGCCTAAGAACACAGCCATGAATAAAGAATGGTACCAACACATCCCCCGAGAGCAACTTCTCCCAACCATCCAATAACAGTTTGGTGACGACCAATGCATTTTCCAGCATGATGGAGCGCCTTGCCATAAGGCAAAAGCGATAACTAAGTGGCTCGGGGAACAAAACATCGAAATTTTGGGTCCATGGCCAGGAAACTCCCCAGACCTTAATCCCATTGAGAACTTGTGGTCGATCCCCAAGAGGCGGGTAGACAAACAAAAACCCACAAACTCCAAGCATTGATTATGCAAGAATGGGCTGCCATCAGTCAGGATGTGGGCCAGAAGTTAATTGACAGCATGCCAGGGCAGATTGCAGAGGTCTTGAAAAAGAAGGGTCAACACTGCAAATATTGACTCTTTGCATAAACTTAATGTAATTGTCAATAAAAGCCTTTGACACTTATGACATGCTTGTAATTATACTTCAGTATACCATAGTAACATCTGACAAAAATATCTCATAACACTGAAGCAGCGAACTTTGTGAAGATCAATATTTGTGTCATTCTCACAACTTTTGACCACGACTGTATGTTAGTGTTCATTAGTGACTGAATCAAAAGGACAGCAGCGAACCAGTCTGGCAGTCAATTCTCCATACACGGGGGATGGAGTGTGTCACCCGCTTGAGGTGGCTTGCTGATCGGACTTCACTCTCTTGGTGCTTGTTCTTTCATGATGACAGAGCCTAAGCACTCCTTTTTACACCTGAAAGCTCTCCTCCCCTCCACCCATTGTGCTCTGCCTACAGTTAGTCAATGGGAAGTCTTGTTGACTTAAACATGTTGACAAGCAAGGCCTACGCCTTCCACAAGTGAAGAAAGGAGACCCCAGAGGAAGAAAGAGGAACCCCTTCAAAAAGGACCAAGGAAGAGGTATGAAAGGTGTTGGCGTAGTGCTCCTGCAGTAATATCTTCTCTGCAATGGATCCACTGGCTGGAATGGCGCTCTGGCTGTCTGAAATGGCCATAAGGATTTTACTGGAGTGACTGGAGGCAAGCAGGGTATATTAAAAAGCTGGTGAGTGACCAAATACCTGAGAACATTTTATCTTTTAGCTAAACAGGACTGTACATTGTGGTTGTAACTACCATCACTTGTCATGTTTTTCCAATCAGATTCATTGTTTTTGTTTCTCTTATGTAGCATGTGGCACTTTCCCATTGGAAAAGTATGACGTTATATGGCCAAGACACACTTGCCGCCTGCATTTATCACCATGTTACCGTAGCAACTTAGTCATGAGACATGATTCACTGGTAATTTAGACAGTCACTACCTTCACTGCCCCAAGTGATGAAGCACACCTGTCGTTAGTTATGATGTGGAGAGCTTGGTCCTGTGGGAGCAGGTAGATTGGCTCACTGAGCAGAGCAATGTGCCTTAGGCTGACTGTTTGCCCTAATGATCCACCAATTAGTAAAACATTGGTAACAGTCGTCTGAACACCACACTTTGTCTGCCTCAGCTTTCCATGAGCCAGCCATGGCCCTAACACCGCCTTTCCCAATACTTTCAGTGCTTCCAATAACACCATGTGCTCAATATGGTGTAGGCTACCACATCTTTCTCAGAAAATATTTATCTTATCAAAACAGAAGGTTGTGGCTCGGATGTTTACTCAAAGGCCTACGGCATAGAGACCACATTTCACACAGCATGGTGGGTTAGGAGGATCATAGTGTCACCATACCGTATTATTGCTCTCAAACCGTGTTTCCCTTCATATACGGACAACATGCACCCTTTACAATTGCCTGTACATACATTCCCAAACCCTAACGAGTGAGACAAGCCGGGGGTAGTACTGGCTGACAACCCTGGTTGCTATGGATGCCAAAAGTCACCCCGGTGAGGGTGTGGCAGGCAGGCAGTCCCAGTAGTCCTCTGTCCCACTGCTCTCATCTGTCACATACTCCATAAACACTGAAGAGAGAGTTACCAAACCATGACTATAGCTTTTATCTTCCAGATACTATACACCCCTGAAACTTAACACCATCCACCATGGCAATACAAAGTCCACATTTCATGATTATATGACAAAATACCATGGTGCCATACAGATGTATCGGGAAGAGTGGGGTGTGCCCGACCACACAAGTGGCAATGAGTAACACAACAAAAGAGTTCAAGTTTCAGATGCTTTTAGTCTTACAGCTTTTACTTGCTAAGCTTTTTACTGTCTCTGGAGTTTTGGTCCACAAAGCCGTTCAGGCAAGAGGGTGGTTAAAGATGGCGGCCACCTGTAGTATTTTGCATCGGTGTGGCTTCACTGGCAGAGTCTGTAGAAGGAGAGCGAAGAGGTTAATTATTATTTTTTTTTAATTAATGTTTGTGGGGTGGTGCTCAGATGGTTGAGGGGCAGCTCTTGGGGAACTGTGGGGGGATCTTGGATGGTTGGTGGCCTGGCGGTTGGGAGCTTGGGCCGGTGGCTGATAGGTCGTTGGTTCGGGTCCCCGTTTTGACTCTGTCGACGTGCCCTTGGGTGGGGCACTTGACCCTGGTTGCTCCTGTGGGTCGCTCTGGATGGGAGTCTGTTAGATGACTGAATGTAATGTAAATGTTGAGCGGCTTCACTGCAGGTAGATTGTATGTTTTTAATATTCTATTTAAAAAAAAAATGAAATATATTTTTTATTTTTACGATACCTAAGGGAGAATTAAGTATGTCAGCCTCTCTGTGATGATTCTCTAAATACACTAAACTGTTCTGAATTACAATGTAACGTCTCTACCTCAGTTTAATACAATTCCATCATGTGGTTTATTATCTTAAAAGGACCACATTTGACACAAACTCATCATTAAAGCTGATAAATGTGCCTCTGTTCAGTGGTTAGTCTTTCAGACACATGGCCCTTGAAGATCAGACTCACCTATGTCTACCAGCAGAAACAAAATAGGCTATTTAACATTATTTGACATTTTTGCAGGAAAATATGTGTGTCCCCATCAGACGACATGCACTACCTTTGGCTGTTTGTCATTGCTATAGCTGTGCTCTACAACTGGATCCTCATTGTGGCTAGGTAGTTGAGAACACAGACTTTCTCTGTTTGGTCCACAGTCAACACATAGCCCAACATCAGAAGGGATGTTTCATCATCACTAAAATTAAAGTATATACTGTGTGACTAAAGTGGAACTTTGAAATGCTAGAGTAAAGTGTACTATTTTTCTCTTCTGTCTGTAGGTCATGCTTTGACAAACTGCAGACAAGCGATTACTTCTTCTGGTTGGTGCTGGACTATCTTTCAGACGGTGTGTACATCTTGGACACCTGTGTCTGACTCTGCACAGGTACATCACCATTATATACACCCTTAAACCAGATCCTAGCTAGAGACAAACACAGGGTTTCTGGAGCAGGGTCTGCTGGTGAAGGCCTCTCCAAGCTGAGAGACCGCTACATCCGCATGTTTCAGTTCAAGCTGGATGTGGTGTCCATCCTACCTACTGATCTGGCCTACATAATCACAGGAATCCACAGCTCAGATTCAACCGCCTGCTGCACTTCCCACGCATGTTTGAGTTCTTCGACCGCACTGAGACATGCACCAACTACCCCAACATCTTCCACATCTGCAACTTGGTGCTCTACATCCTGGTTATCATCCACTGGAACGCCTGCATCTACTTTGCTATTTCCAAATCCCTGGGTTTTGGCTCTGATACCTGTGTGTACCCCAACATCTCCAACCCTGAGTGTTGTGGGTAATGTTGGCTCCATGATTGCCAACATGAATGCCACACGTGCAGAGTTTCAGGCCCGTATTGACACCATCAAACACTACATGCACTTCCGTCGGGTCAGCAAGGAGCTGGAGGCACACGTCATTAAGTGGTTTGACTACCTCTGCACTAATAAAGCAGTAGACGAGCAGAAGGTGTTGAAGAACATGCCTAACAAACTCCAGGCTGAGATTGCCATTAATGTGTACCTGGAGACCCTGAAGAAAGTGCATATCTTTCAGGACTGTGAGGCTGAACTGTTGGTGGAGCTGGTGCTGAAAATCCGACCACAGGTCTACAGCCCAGGGGACTAAATCTGCCGCAAAGGGGACATAGGGAAGGAGAGGTACATCATCAAACAGGGGAAGCTGGCAGTGGTGTCAAATAACAGGGTCACACAGTACGCCCTCCTCACCACCAGCAGCTGCTTTGGGGAGATAAGTATCCTCAACATCCAGGGCAGCAAAATGGGCAATCGCAGGACGGCCAATATCCACAGCATCGGCTACTCTGACCTCTTCTGCCTTTCTAAGGACGACCTGATGGAGGCAGTGACAGAGTACCCTGATGCTAAGAAGGTGCTGGAGGAGAGGGGGAAGGAGATCCTTATGAAGGAGGGCCTCCTAGATGAGAATGCAGAGGCTGGTAGACTGGGTGGAGTGGACACCAAGGAGAAGGTGGAGAGGCTGGAGTCCTCTCTGGACACCCTGCAGACGCGCTTTGCCCGCCTGCTTAGCGAGTACACGGCCACACAGCAGCGGCTGAAGCGACATCACCAACCTGGAGTGCCAGCTGTGCCACACGGGCTGCGGGATCCTCTCAGACTGACGCAGAGGCAGCCGCTGAGGCAGACACTCTGGCTGCTGCCAATACCGATGAACAAGGTAACCATGGGAATGATGAGTCGACTGAGCCCACTCTTCAAACATGAAAGCTGCCTGTGACCATGGCTCTAGGCCTAGCACTTTCTCAAGCACTTTCAAAATCATAAGGGTATACACAAACATACAATAAACGTCCTTCCTCATAAGAAAATGCTTTTCTTATCAACATAGTGACTGTTGCATTAAGCTTGTACAACATACATAAGACTATTGATATCCACCATTTTCTTTGAGTTCAATGCAAACATAAGATGAAGAGTTTATTAAGCAGAATAAGAATATAGGGTTGAGTCAGTGTATAGATGAGTTCTTCTCTTGATGGGATACTATGTGTTCGCACACATCACATGCAGTCTTTTCCGACATCCTTACCCCCAAAGGTAGGTTACATAAGAACAGATAGCAGCACAGAGGGTAAGACTCACATCCTGGACAGTGCCCTCTACCAACCCCATAGAACTCTTACCTAATGATGAAGTGGGCCAACACCGGAGCACTCAGCAGCCCCTACAACACACCTGTCAGCATCTGGTGGATTTCATGGTCTTGGAGATTTGTTGTATACCATGAAAGTGTTTAGTATTTTTACACAATTTTATTATAATACTGTGGCCTGTAATGAGTTTAGTGATCATGAAAATATTGGCTTGACAGCTAATGGTTGTATGACCAATCAAGTATTTGACCACAGTTAACTAATTAATGTTATACTTTAAGGTTACTCATAAGTAACAATGGTACACTACATTTAACTGGATTTGTGGTTAACAAAATATGTAACTTGTGTATATTTGAATTAATTAATTTGAATAAACCTATTTTTTTCCCCAAGGCATTTGGAGAAAAACAATCTGAGTTGGTAGTTTTACACTACACCCAAGATACATTTAAATCATTGTGGGATGAAGTCCTATAGCATCATGTATTGGGTACTGAAAATTCAAATTAAAAAGCCCAGTGATGGAAACAGCAACCCTGCTGTTTTTGGTTGAGTGCACTACATTTGCGTCATAAGCACAGAGCTTGTGGCAGAGGCTGTAGTATACTCTCATCCAGGGAAGCTACACAATTTCCCCTCTTGAGTCTTGAGAAGCATTCTGCACTCAAATCCCAAATGAACAGGTGAGCACGTCTAAGAAAAGGCTTGAGACAGTGGGGAATTATTACCAGTGTAACCATTTGGGGAGGAACAGCCTGAACCAGCAACACTGCAGATAAAGGACAATTCCACTCAAAAACGAACTTTTAGTATTTGTTTCATTAGTCCACAGTTGATACAGTCCCAAAATGTTTTGCGTGTCAGCAATCAAGTTTTCAAGATATATAACTTTTAAAATACAGAACGACAGTGGACTAGTGAAACAAATACCAAAATATAGTTTGAGTTATTTTCCTTTAAACCCACACTACCCTGACTACCATCTGATCTGTGCTATAAAGGTCCAGACCGCTTGGCAGAGGCCATAGTACACTCCTATACAGGGAGCGTACATAGTGTATTCGGACCCCTTGACTTTTTCCACATTTTGTTACGTTACAGCCTTATTCTAAAATGGATTGAATTGTCCCCCCCCCCCCTCATCAATCTACACACAATACCCCATTATGACAAAGCAAAAACAGGTTTTTAGAATTTTTTTGCAAATATAAAAAATAAAACATTTACATAAGTACTCAGACCCTTTACTTTGTTGAAGCAGCGATTACAGCCTCGACTCTTCTTGGGTATGACTCTACAAGCTTGGCACCTGTATTTGGGGAGTTTCTCCCATTCTTCTCTGCAGATTCTCAAGCTCTGTCAGGTTAGCTGGGGAGCGTTGCTGCACAGCTATTTTCAGGTCTCTCCAGAGATGTTCGATCGGGTTCAAGTCCGGGCTCTGGCTGGGCCACTCAAGGACATTCAGAGACTTGTCCCAAAGCCATTCCTGCATTGTCTTGGCTGTGTGCTTAGGGTCGTTGTCCTGTTGGAAGGTGAACAATCGCCCCAGTCTGAGGTCCTGAGCAGGTTTTCATCAAGGATATCTGTACTTTGCTCCGTTCATCTTTCCTAGTCTCCCAGTCTCTGCCGTAGAAAAACATCCCCACAGCTTGATGCTACCACCACCATGCTTGGGATGGTGCCATGTTTCCTCCAGACGTGACGCTTGGCATTCAGGCCAAAGAGTTCAATCTTGGTTTCATCAGACCAGAGAATCTTGTTTCTCATGGTCTGAAAGTCCTTTGGCAAACTCCAAGCGGGCTGTCATGTGCCTTTAACTGAGGAGTGACTTCCATCTGGCCTGATTGGTGACATGCCTAAGGAGAGTACAAAGGACTGTGATTAATTTGGTACAATAGGGAGCATTCCTTTGAATTAAGTAATGGCATGTCCAGTCATAATATGGTGTGGAAAGAAGCAAATTTTTATATTTTTCTCCATCTGTAAAGGTATACATTAAAGGGTGCTTTTTTACATTTACATTTTAGTCATTTAGCAGACGCTCTTATCCAGAGCGACTTACAGTTAGTGAGTGCATACATTTTTTAATACTGGCCCCCCGTGGGAATCGAACCCACAACCCTGGCGTTGCAAACGCCATGCTCTACCAACTGAGCTACATCCCTGCTGGCCATTCCCTCCCCTACCCTGGACGACGCTGGGCCAATTGTGCGCCGCCCCATGGGTCTCCCGGTCACGGCCAGCTACGACAGAGCCTGGATTCGAACCAGGATCTCTAGTGGCACAGCTAGCACTAGCACTGCGATGCAGTGCCTTAGACCACTGCGCCACTCGGGAGATGGTTTCTAGAACCTGGTGAGTTTGCTAGTAGAAAAAGACTCAATGTAATGTATTTTTCTGTACTTAGAAAGTTTAATAAGTAGATACCTATTTGAAACCCCATCCCAAAAATAAACACTACCAAAAACAATATATACTACTACTGGTCCTGAGTGCAGCATGGTCCAGCTTCACACTCCATCACAGCAGATGGCGCCCTCACATTATGGGAGTTTGTGGACCTGCCAGTGTTGTCATTTTCGCAACCATAAAAGCGCTCATTGAAAGTGCACGCAGATAACGTGCGTTTTTCAATTACATTTATTGTCTGAAGAAAAGTAAAGGTATGGTTATGTTATCCATTTTTGTTCAACGTCAGTGAACAAACATATATACCGTTGTTTAGCTGGATGTTTAAGATATGGCGTTTTGTTAGACATCTAGTTTGCTAACTCGTTCGTATTTTTGTAGCTAACGTAGCTAGCCAACGTTAGCTGGCTAGTTAGCCAACTAACATTAGCTAGTTTGGTAATGTTAGCTAGATAACTTGCTATAGCCAACTTATTTGCTGAATGTCAATTGGCTAGATACCTTTCTCCCATTTGCTATTTTTAAATATGATCAGTGTAAAAATGCTAGCTCAAAATGAAGTTAGTTAGTCAGCCAGCATGTTGCCAGAAGATACCAACCCTACCTTTTCGATACCAACCCTACCGTTTACACCGAACTGCACTCGTCTGGGGTCGGGACGCAATCATGGTTATATTAATAGACTGGAATCGGCGCCAGATACTAGTCGGAAAACGTACCTTAATGCAGGGATGGGATATGCCACTGTATAGTACCTTTATCCACACTGTGCCATGGAGAAGATTGGAATACTGCTAGTTTTCTCGGAAAACTGCAATCTTCTGCCTCATGCTAGTTAGCAGTAGCCACCACAGCCATTATGGAATGGGGTGTTTCGTTGAACAACAAAGGAACTGATTGGCTGACACTGGCATTCCAAAATGTCTGTGGGGCTACTGCTAACTAGCATGAGGCTCCAAGGTGTCTTAATGTAACCATGGTTGTGTTCCGACCCCAGTGCATGTCAGTGTAAACAAGCGTAATGGTAGGATCGGTATCTTCTGGCAAGTTAGCTTGCTGCCTGTCTTTGTTATCCAGGACAGGTCATGCCCACGTCCAGCTGAATATTGTATCTGTTTCTAGCTAAGCTGTGTTAGTGGATGAAGATGTTGAAGGGACTATAATGACGTTGGTACAATGTATTAATCTCTCCCTTGTGCCCTTCCTGGATAGGACAATGAGTGGAGGATTCAACTTTGGACAAGCGTCCAATACTGGATTCAGCTTTGGAGCTCCCAAAACCACAGCTGCAACTGCCCCAGCCACAGGCTTTGGGATGCCAAGTGCTGCAGCTCCAGGTGGTGGCTTCTCTTTCGGAACCCCCAACCCTCCCCAGGCCCCAGTAGCTGCCCCCCAGAGCTCTGGGCTGTTTGCTATGCCCATCCAGGCTAGCACAAACCCAACTGGAGGGTTCAGCTTTGGGACCCCTGCACAGAGCAGTACTCCTGCAGGAGGAGGCTTCTCTTTTGGGTGGGTGTATTGGATGATGTAGTTTTCATGGATGTTTGGATAATATAATAGTGCTATAACTATCTTAGGGCAGCATTGATGGTGAGATGAACCAACTTGGTAGGTTGTTGCCTGTGTAGCTTTTAGTAGCATTGCAATCATAATGTAGATTTTATAATGCGGTCTTTTCTCTTGCTTTTGTCTTTAGGACTCCCACTGCTAAACTCAATCTGGGCACACCAGCCGCCTCTCAACCAGCACTGACTGGGCTAACTATGGGGATGGCAACCGCCTCCTCTGGGACAGGCTTTGGAATTGGTGGGGGTCTCGCCACACAAACCACTGTTGCACCTGTAGGAGGGGGGTTCAGCTTTGGGACCGCAGGGGGGCTTGGAGCCCCTGTTGCCCAAACTCAGCCCCAGACCCAACCAGCAGCAGCTGGTGGGCTCTCTTTAGGAACTCCTGCTGCAGCCACCCAAATGATGGGAGGTGGGTTTAGTTTTGGTGCAGCCAAGGTCCAGGCCACCACAGCCCCAGCCCCTACTGTAACCCCAGGAGGGGGCTTCTCATTTGGGAACAGCGCCCCTGCCAGCCTCTCCCTGGGGACCCAGCCCACAAGTGAGTTTTCTGAGCTCCTAGTCATCTCAGTTGATCAGATCATGGGTAACGCACTGTAAATGCCATAATTACTTTACATCAGTGTTTTTTGCATCCTGAATTATAGTATTTTGTCTTTCCTCAGGTCTGACGCTGAACTCTGTGGCCACGGCCTCAACAGCTGCACCAACCACAACCCAGGGTGGAGGATTCGCTTTTGGCGTCAAACCTTCTGGTAAATGGGGGAATCGGAGACGTTTGGCATATGTCATTTATCAAATGAATATCTGACAAATTGTAGAAATGTTTTTTAACTGATATCGACGGCTGTGAGTTTAAGATATATTTTTCTTTCTCTAAAGCTACTCCAGCCCCCGCTGCAACTGCGCCGGCTACCCAGGCCTCATTAGGTTCTTCTCTCTTTGCTATACCAGCATCAACAGCAGCTCCTGCTACAGCAGCAATCGCAGGATTTTGTGAGTTTTATCTCCTACTAGCTAACTCTTGCCTGAAATATCAAGTGTTGACAAACTCAAAACTAAGGTTAAATTGGCTTTCTGACATTCTATGGTGGAATTTAATTTCCTTGTTACCCTGACTCTCTCCTGATCAGTGGGCGCTACCTCAGCCGCCCCCACTGCCACCTCAGCAGCAGGAAGTACCTTGGGCTTCATGCTCAAACCCTTGGGAGCAGTCACTGCTACAACCACTGCCCCAGTTGGCACGGGTACGGTACAGGTTCATTGTTTTATCATACAGGATTATTGGAATAACTAGAGCTTGATATTGTTGGCTGTTTATGCAAAATGGTGTATATGGGGTTGTTCATACAGTATGTTTGTCATATTGATGAATTCCTCACTAGTGGTTTTTATGTTTTAGCTGCCCCTACCACTGGCACTACCACAGGTTTCTCACTGGGTATGAAACCTGCGGGCGCCACTGGCATCGGTGCAACAGCCCCCATCACTGGAGTAGCCACAACCATCACTACTGTTACAGCAAGGTACTGCAGGGTTCAGCCTGGTCCAGTTCATTACAACCACTCACTGCAATATCTCTCACTGCATCTGTATCCTCAACCATTGTATTTAGGGTTGGGGTTAAGTCCATTTCAATTAATTCAATTCTGGAAGTAAACTGAAATTCCAATTCCAAATTTTTCCCATACAGAAGCTTCAAGGATAATTTGAATTTCGGGTTTACTTCCTGAATTGAAAAAGAATTTAACCCAACCCTGATTGTATTACTCTAAATACATCTTCATCCACTCTTAGCCCTAGTTGTTTCAATATGCCCAGTACCTTGCCCTGAACTTAGTCACCTTTACTAGCCGGCTACCACCCGGTTACTCTACCATGCACCTAAGAGGCTGCTGCCCTATGTACATAGTCATGGATCACTGGTCACTTTAATAATGTTTATATACTGTTTTACCCACTTCTTCATATGTATATACTGTATTCTAGTTAAGGCCTATCCTATTTAACTGTTGCTGTACATACACTATTCTTCAGATACTGTATACTACATATTAATAATACATATTCTATCCCATATATTGTCTGTACATCCCATCATATATTTATTTATTTGCACGGACTCTGTACACACTGGACTCTACAACACAGAGAAGGCTGAATTCCTGAGAAGACAATAAGACCTTTTGCATAGAGTGTAGAGTCACATCGGGGGCTCGGTCGCCCTACACATTAATTGGTCTGGGAAACTGTGCAGTAATCCCTATATATACATACACTTTTTTGATTTGTGTGTATTGTTATATGTTACTGCACTGTTGGCGTTAGGAACACAAGCATTTCGCTACACCTGCAATAACATCTGCTAGATATGTGTGTGTGACCGATTTTGATTTGTGACTGGTCCTTTACTCCTCCCCCTGCAGTGCTCCTCCAGTGATGTCATACGTCCAACTAGAGGGTCTCATTAACAAGTGGAGTCTTGAGCTGGAGGACCAGGAGAGGCATTTCTTACAGCAAGCCACCCAGGTCAACGCCTGGGACCGCACGCTGGTGGAGAACGGAGAGAAGGTAACCAGACATGTCATTATAGTGGCACTTCTCGTGGTAACTGCACCACTTGAATCTAGGCAATGCTATTTGTTTTAATCTCATATGAATTTGAACTTTGGGGTCTCTTCATGGCAGATTTAAAAGAGCATGTTCATCTTGTTGTTACAGATCACATCACTGCACAGGGAGATGGAGAAGGTGAAATTGGACCAAAGAAGGTAATGTTAACAGCTTTATTTATAATAATGTATTTGAATACATCAGGTAATTCAGAATTCTGTCTTATCTGTAAGTAGATCTATGGTAATTATTGTGTCAATATTTATTGTATGACCTTGTGTTTCTGCGCTCTACCCTGTCCCAGGTTGGACCAGGAGCTGGACTTCATCCTGTCACAACAGAAGGAGCTGGAGGACCTGCTGTCCCCGCTGGAGGAGTCTGTCAAAGAACAGAGTGGAACCATCTACATGCAGAACGCAGACGAGGAACGCGAGAGGACGTAAGGTTTTACCAAATGTCTTTCTGAGTAAAAACCAAAGCACAGTGAGAACTGAATCATGACTATGGTTATGCAATATCTCAATTTCTTTCTGAAGGTACAAGCTTGCAGAGAATGTGGACGCCCAGCTGAAGAGGATGTCTCAAGATCTAAAGGAGATCATTGAACACCTGAACACATCCAGCGGGCCAGCTGATAATAGTGACCCGGTGAGAAGGAAAAACAGATTGATGTATTTTGAATACCTGACTGCTAGTGCTTTTACTTATGTATTTCTACAGTTATTCTAATGCAAATACAGCACATTTTCTGAACTGTGGTTACCTAGTTAGTTTATTATTTAGGGAAGAGGAAATGTATAAGTAGTTCTGCTAACACTTTTTCTCTCTTTAGCTTCAGCAGATCTGTAAAATTCTCAATGCCCACATGGACTCTCTTCAATGGATTGACCAGAACTCGGGTCAGTATTTAACCCATGTGTGGTCTTGAGTAAATCACTTTTTAACATGACCCTTGCTTCTGATAAAAAGTTAAGACTTCCTTCAATCCATATTAACTCTGTAATATATCCGTCTTTCCTCAGTGCTTCTACAGAGAAGGGTGGAGGATGTGTCCAAACTCTGCGACAACCGACGCAAAGAGCAGGAGAAGACTTTTCGCATAACATTTAATTGAATTGGAGATTGTAATATCAGAAAATGATATTGTGAATGTAAATGTGCATTATGCAAGTTCTTTTTTTTTTTTTTTTTTTCAATGAAGATATTTTTGAGAAGAGTTATGATAAAGTTCTGCTTTTAATGCAGCATCAATTGTGATTTATAGAAAAATACTCCAAACTAGGGTGTGTGATATGCACTTCCCAAATTTCAACACTGGTGCTGGTAAAATAATACATTCTGAGTAAATAAAGAGATGCACACATTATGTGCTCCAATATCCTTTAGGGATCGATTAAATCCGTAACCCTGAAGATCAGCTCTGTAGCACAATGGAAATGTGACATAAGCAGCGTTTACCGTGAATTCAAATCAATCAAATGTAATTGTATTTGACACATGCTTTGTAAACAGGTGTAGACTAATACTGAAACGCTTACTTCCGGCCCTTCCCAACAATGCAGAGGAAATAATTGAAATAATAACGAGGAATAAATACACAGTAACGATAACTTGGTTACATACACGGGGTACCACCACCGAGTCGACGTGCAGTGGTACGAGGTAATTGAGGTAGATATGTACAGGTGCAGCTCAATAAATTACAATATTGTGGAAAAGTTCAATATTGTAGACTCAAGGTGTCACACTCTAATCAAAACACCGGCAATGGTTTCCTGAGCCTTTAAATTGTCTCTCAGTCCAGTTCAGTAGGCTTCACAATCATGGGGAAGACTGCTGACTTGACAGTTGTGCAGAAGACAGTCATCAACACCCTCCACAAGGAGGGAAATCCTCAAAAAAGCATTGCTATATCCAAGTGCAGAGTGCTGTATCCAAGCATATTCATGGCAAGTCGAGTGGAAGGAAGAAATGTGGTAGGAAATGGTGCACAAGCAACAGGGATAACCGTAGCCTTGAGAGGATTGTCAAGCAAAGGCCATTCAAAAATGTGGGGGAACTTTACAAGGAGTGGACTGAGGCAGGAGTCAGTGCATCAAGAGCCCCCACGCACAGACGTATCCAGGAAATGGGCTACAACTGTCGCATTCCTCGTGTCAAGCCACTCCTGAACCAGAGGCAACGTCAGAAGCGTCTTACCTGGGCTAAGGAGAAAAAATAACTTCTGTCGCTCAGTGGTCCAAAGTCCTCTTTTCATATGAAAGTACATTTTGCATGTCATTTGGCAATCATGGTCCCAGAGTCTGGAGGAAGAGTGGAGAGGCACAGAATCCAAGTTGCTTGAAGTCCAGTGTGAAGTTTCCACAGTCAGTGACGATTTGGGGAGCCATGTCATCTTCTGGGGTTGGTCCACTGTGTTTCATCAAGTCCAAAGTCAACTCAGCCGTCTACCAGGAAATGTTAGAGCACTTCATGCTTCCTTTTGCTGACAAGCTTTATGGAGATGCTGATTTCATTTTCCAGCAGGACTTGGCACCTGCCCACACTGCCAAAGGTACCAATACCTGGTTCAGTGACCATGGGATTACTGTGCTTGATTGGCCAGAAAACTCGCCTGATCTGAACCCCAGAGAGAATGTATGGAGTATTGTCAAGAGGAAGATGAGAGACATGAGACCCAACAATGCAGACGAGCTGAAGGCCGCTAACGAAGCAACCTGGGCTTCCATAACACCTCCGCAGTGCCACAGGCTGATCGACTCCATGCCACGCCGCATAGATGCAGTGATTCATGCAAAAGGAGCCCCAACCAAGTACTGACTGCATGTACAAGAACATACTTTTCAGGAGGCCGACATGTCTGTATAAAATTTCATTTTTTCACTGGTTTTATGTCATATTCTAATTTTCTGAGATACTACATTTGGGGTTTTCATGAGCTGTAAACCGTAATCCTCAAGATTAAAACAAATACAGCCTTGAACTATTTCACTTTTTGTGTAATTAATCCACGATATATGAGTTACACTTTGTCAATTGAATTATTGAAATTAACTTTTCCACAATATTGTAATTTATTGAGCTGCACCTGTACATATAGGTAGGGATGAAGTGACTAATCAACAGGATAGATAAACAGTAGCAGCAGCGTACACTGAGTATACAAAACATTAAGAACACCGTAATATTGAGTTGCACCCAATGTTCCTTCTTAACTACGTGCAGCTCCCCTCGGAAATCCGTGCAGGTGAAATATCAGCCCGCGCAGAGAAACACGAGATCAAACTAAACTTTCTAGAGCTTTTCCCTTTTAACACTCAACGTTTCACTCTGCTGTCAGAATTGCGATAGAATCAACGCAATATTAGCCACTTTCAATGTAATATACCGAAACAAAATTAACTATGTAAAACTAACTGTGCAAGGTATTTTCTTGTAGGCAGAGCGGAGTAGGATTACACCTGTTGTATTCGGCGCATGTGACAAATAAAATGTCATTTGAGTTTGATTTGAAATGGCCATGTATTGAGATCAAAGCGAGAGCTGCATGTGAACCTGTGCACATTTGTTCATATTCTTTGCCAGTTAGTGAGTTATTAGCCCAGTTATAGCTAATTTATAGTCAACAATGGGGGAGTGGTTGCTTCCTTCAAGATCACAAAATGTGTGCATTTCAGGTAGAGAGCTCTTTTTATGTCAAAGGGACGGCGTTGTATTTTGAGACGGTCTTGAATAAGCCAAGTAGCCAATAAGCAGAGAGTAGCATAATTTGTCTGATTCTCTGTAATAATGATATGGGAATAATAATGAAACAACACATGTTCAGTCACCTTGTCTGTAGGACAAGTGGATAAACAGGTTAATGTCAAGTCCTGCATGTTTTTTTCAAACGTCTCATGGAATGTAGGCCTACATTGAATACCACACATTTGCTGCTACTGTAGGCTGAACGATAGAACAGCTATTTCCATTTTAACGTTATGGGATGCATTTTTCTCAATTGTTTTTGATGGTAGGCCACTGGTAGACCTACATTATGATCAAATAGCTACTGTTAACAGCCTCCGTGTGCACAGTAAACGCGCTCAGTGCTGTAAAATTTTCTCAGTGCCAGAACAAAATTGAGGGAACATTGGTTGCCCTCAGAACAGCCTCAATTCGTCTCTACAAGGTGTCGACAGCGTTCCACAGGGATGCTTTCCACAGATGTGTCAAATTGGCTGGATGTCCTTTGGGTGGTGGACCGTTGTTGATACACAGGGGAAACTGAGTGTGAAAAACCCAGCAGTGTTGCAGTTCTTGACACCGAACCTATTACCATACCCACGTTCAAAGGCACATATCATTTGGCTTGCCCATTCACCCTCTGAATGGCTTACATGCACAATCCATGTCTCAAGGCCTAAACATCCTTCTGTAACCTGTCTCTTCCCCTTCGTCTACACTGATTTGAAGTGGATTTAATAAGAGACATCAATAAGGGATCATAGCTTTCACCTGGTCAGTTTATCATGGAAAGAGCAGGTGTTCTTAATGTTTTGTACACTGTATGTGATAAGTCAAGAGTTTGTGCAAAAGGGGTCAATGCAGATAGTCTGGGTAGCTATTGGTTAACTATTTAAGGCCTCCATTCAATTTGTAAAACTGAAGCGTTACAGATTACGCAATATACATTTTAAAGTTAATTTCCGATTGAGCTGACATATGTAGTTTATCATGAATGCAGTCTCCACTAAAGCAGGAACATTGCCTTTAAATTTGAATCACGCTGTAAAGCTGAACTTCCGTTATGCGGATTGAATAGAGCCCTAACTATTTAGCAGTCTTATGGCTTGAGGGTAGAAGCTGTTCAGGGTCCTGTTGGTTCCAGACTTGGTGCATCGGTACTGCTTGCCATGCGGTAGCAGAGAGAAGAGTCTGACTTCAGTGGCTGGAGTCTTGACAATTCTCCAAATGCGGGAACATTGCCTTCACATTTCTATCGCGCTGTAGCGCAGGTCTTCAGCGCTACGGATTGAATCGAGCCCTCAATTTACCTACACCATATTTGATTCCTTGTCACATGTTGCAGAACACACCAGACTTCTTTCTAAATATGTTTTATTTATTTGGCAGTTCAAAAAATAAGTAATGAATGCACAATTCCAGGTTTTAAGTCTTCACAAAATGTGTTATCCAGTGTTCAACAGTGTGTGAGGTACTGTATTTGTTGAGCTCACACCCATATCCCTCACCCCACCCGTTTCCATCACCTCATAAAGCATTTATAACAGGTCTCCAACCCTGTCCCTGGAGAGCTACCCTTCTGTAGGTTTTTGCTCCAAGCCCATTTTGTAACTAACCTGGGTCAGATTATCAACCAGCTAATTGTTAGAAACCGGTGTGCTATATTAGGGTTGGAGTGAAAACCTACAGGATGATAGCTCACCAGGAACATGGTTTTAGAGCACTGATTCATAGAATTCAGTGTCAAAGCCTTGACTACATGAGAAGATGGCATGGTGACGTAGAACTCATCACATAGTAACGTAACACTAGCCTTGACAACAGCAGATCATTGTAAAAATAGTCACTTGACTATGCAAAGCGGAAAATAATTTCTGAGGCTCCTTTTCCTTTTTTAATCAACATACTGTGCTTATCATTTACAGGGTGACTTTGACAGACCATGACAGCATTGGTATCCCCTAACAGTAAAATATGAGCATTTAAGATTTCTCTATATATATATTTTTAAATCTGACAATTATGTCTGAGAAAGGCATCACAGTTCATGATACATGAGATCAAAAAAATTTGACTTAAAGGAAAACAGGATCTTCTGTAGGAAAAAAAACGTGTGATTGAGTGAGAAAGGGTAGCACAGTGCAGGGCTGCTCATATGAGTTGGTCAGGGCTGGACCACAGCCTGTAGTTTGCCATCTGTGGACTGATTGGTTCAGCTGGCTGGCACCCTCTGGGCCAGATGCAGTGCCTAGCGCATACGCATGGTCAGGCTGTGCTTTGGTCCATCCAGACGCTCCAGCTTCTCAAAGTGTTTTCTGGCGTTGCGGATGTTAATGAGTGTGGCTGCAGAGGCTATAAGTAGAGAGAGACAACATTATTCAGAGTGTCAAGTTAATTACAGTAGACATGCATTTTCTCATGTACAAACAAGTCCATAATAATAATGGCTATACTTACGTATGGAGGGGTCCGACATGATCACCATAACATATGTATTAGAGGTGAAGACATCGATGAAGGCCGCAAAGTTGGAGTTCCTCACCTCCATGCTCTGGAAGGAGGCTGCCAGTTTACTGCAAACAACAAAAAGTACTGCATTATGGAAACACCAAAGACAGATACCGTGTCGAGACGTAGTAGGGTCACCACAGAGATGTTCCTTCTGGAGGATGACCTCACCTACAACTGAGCTTGAACTGTTTGATGATGTTGCTGATCTTCTCAAAGCGGTGAGCATCACGCTGCTCTTTGCACTGGTAGTGAGAGATTACCTGTAACACAAACAACATTACATCACTTCCAGAAATGTCATCATTTCCTACTCATCCAACCATCAGCTTTTCAACAAAGCCGTTTTCAATAGCTAGTAGCCCTCACCAGAAAAGTGGCTCTCTCAAACAGAAGCACTTCGTCTGCCTCAATGATCTGGGCAAAGTTACGCAGGTTTGTCTCCAGCTGCTGTACATTGGGGATCAGCTGGTAAACAATACTGGACCATGCCTTAAGAGAGAAACAACATGTTAGAGACTTATGAGCGCACAGCGATAAACAGTCATACAGACAGAGCAGCTACCTTGTACAGCGTTTCATCCCAGATTGATGTTCTGAAGCAAGTGCAAGCCAATGGCCTGGACAGACGCCTCAGGTCCTCTTCACGCTCCTTAAAGATCTGAAGAGAGGGAGGACAATCAGTCATCCACATAGGTGTTAAGAGTTGAGCACACCCACATGCTAAATAAATAGCCTACTAATAGTTGGCTAGTGGTGCAGTCCTCTGGCCATTTTAAGGAATGTCTGAGTGCCACAATAGTGTTATTAAGCCAGACTCCTAGTGAAGTATGTCTTAAAATGTAATGTGTGTATGAATAAGTGAATATGAGTTTAAGCATTAAAACGTTAAGTGTCTGATTGGCATGGTGTTTGTGTGAACCCCAGCTCACCAGGTCTCTCTGGTCCTCTTGAACCAGATCCATTTTGTGCACCAGGCAGAAGACCTTGGCATCGGGGGAGTTCTGGAGGATTGCCTCCAGACAGGACTGGTAGTAATGCATATCCTTTTCCAGCTCACGGCTCTCCACATCAAACACATAGATCAGCACCTCCACGTTCCTGAATATGTTGTCCCTCTGGCTGGTGAAGTAGTTCTCCATGAAAGTGTCTTGTCTGACGGACACAGGAAGCAGTGTTAATTGTGGTGAGAAACACCCTACAGCTTGTCAAATGAGGCTGAAAGAGACAGGTTGACTTACCCTCCACAGTCCCACAAGTTCAAAACCAGATTGCCAAGGAATCGCACATGGGAATGCTCTACATCAACTAAGTTGCAAGATAGGAGAAAGAGAATTCAATAACTAGAATAGGGTGAGCATCAATGCAACACAACTTAGCTATCTGACAATTGTAATTATTCATTTTCAACTGGCTTAAAATGTATTTAGTTTAGAAACTTTAGCTAGTGTTTACTCGTGGCTCCAAGGCGGCGTGTGTCTCGGGCTATGTAGTTGGCAAAGATGATCGATCTCATGCTCGTCTTCCCAGACCCACTCTTGCCCATCAGCAACACCTTTAGAGGACATCAACCAATTGCATATAAGGGGACAACCACAGACTACTACTACTTCTAAGCCTACAGTGTCTATTGTCATTGAAAATGTTAGTGTTTCAATTCTTACAAATACAACAGTGTAGTGTTAATATTTGGTTGATCTACCTTTTTCTTCATGGCTGTGCTTGACATCCCCTTAATCGTTCAGTTTGCAGAATGTTGAATCTAGTCAGTCTGACTTTTGCCCTCTTCAGCAGGTGCTTTCTGTTCGTTTAACTTAAAGCTTCAGCAGAAGACATACCATGCATAACAAGGAACACAGCACAAACACACGTCATTATCTGTAATGTGATGTAGTTACTAGCTAGTGTCACCCAAACTAAACAGTTGGTAAGGTAAAAAACATATTAGCTATATAATAGGTAATGATCTAGATTGCAAGATTATATGATTACTAGATTATATGACACTAGAGGGCCAGATATAGCTGGGCTATGTGAAAATGTTAAATGAAAGCATTTGTATCACCAGTGTGCTACATTGCACCAATTAACAAGTATTATTTACAAGAGGGGATACAGCATAAAAAGTGAAATGAAGAAAGGGAACTGTAGCTTTGGTAATTGAAGTGTAGCCAGAGATGTACTATAATGTTGGTGTAGCTAGCTGGAGTACGTTCTCAGCTATCAAAAGAACTAGCTAACTACATAAAACTAGCTTTATACAACAAGCGAGCTAGCTAACGACGTTAGCAAGCTACTAAACGTTAAACAACATTCAGAAAGGGTTTAGTTTAGCTAGCGAGGAAAAAACAACTACATTCTTGACAAAATATTCAGTAACTATAGCTAGTTATGTCAACATTTTGGATTTAAAATAGCTTATACATTACTTGATTTTGATAGCTAGACAGGTCCATTGCTTGCTGTGTCTAAGCCTTCACAAACATGCTGATGCTAGCTAACGTTTACTGGCAGGCCCACAAAACATGCAATTTCATTCGGTTACGATTATACTACCGACGGGTCATCTGATGCTTTATCACCTGAAGGTGCTGGTCGAGGCCCGTAAAATTAAAACAGAAAAAAACTACTTTAATAAATATTTGGTTAGTTGTGTAGCTAGAGGTACAGAAACTAGCTCCACTAGTACAGCGTCTTAGACATTTCACGTGATTACTAGCGGGGAGGGGCCACTTCAAGTGACCCAAGAATGCAGAAGTGTGGGTGCGTTCCAGAGCGTCAAATTTTGGGGATGTTTTTGTTGTAACGTGGCAAATTTCATCAGACTATGTAATGTTGAGTCCAGTGTTGCCAATTTAGCGACTTTTAAGACCCCTCTAGCGACACATTTTCAAAAAAGCGACAAGCGACAAATCTAGCAAGTTTTTCTGGTGTTATTGGAGACTGACGTGAAAGCACGTATCGTTCTTACTCTACTCAACGAGCAGCGGGTGCTTCGTTACCCCGTTCCCAAAGCACTCACAGGCGGCCCAGTCCTCGCGCAGAAGTCCCTCCCAGCTGCAGTCAGAGCAGGAGATGTTCACCCCTCCCTCCAGACTGCAAATGAATCGCGCATGCGGGAAGCCGCCGCTGGCTGATCCCGCCCTGGCTTACATTCAGGGCGGGATGTAAATGTAGGGTGTTTTTTACTAACTTTTTGTCTCCCCCACAACGTTATTCTTCTCTCCTACAGCGTCCATCACAATTACATGCACATAGCCAATTATGCAAATTAGGTGATGACGTCATTCAGTGACTTTTAGGACAGCCAATAGCTACTTTCCTTACTGATAGTTGGCAACACTGATGTTGACATGTGCATTCAACATTTTCAACTTTAAACCAGTGCTCGACTTAGGCAGGAGCTCACCGGAGCTGAGTACCTGCACCTCACATGTTCTACTGCTTGAGCTCCTGTTCCTCTAATAGAATATTAGCTCAAAAGTATTGTGGAGCTCCTGCACTTAAATATAAACAGTACCGGAACCCAAAATGAGTACAGGCACCTATTTCGGTCCAAGTCAAGCACTGCTTTAAATCCTATTATTTTCAACATTGTTTACATACATACAAATAGCATGAGACATACATGGAAATGAGACTGAAAAAGGTACATGGTACAAGAGGCTAAAAGTGTTATAAAATTATATTATCTAATATCCAGAAAGAAAAAAAAAACTCTGTTATCAAATGTAAGAATCAACCAACCAATCTCTTCATAAAACCATGTCGTTCTGATACAGGATAGGAGAATATATAAAACTTTTTTTACACAATTATTCATGTGAATAAAATATCTTATGAGGAAATGGGTAAATGGAGGCACACCAGAAAGAAACGCATGAAATAACATTGCAGTTTCCTTTAAAGACACAAGAGAGGTCTGCCAAACTACAACACAAGAAAAAAAGACATACCAAAAGCATCAGTTGGAGATGCAACCATCCCAGTTATAATATATTTCAAAAATTCATGAATTTTCCATAACCAATAAGTCTGTGTTAGTAGGCTGGTGGCCTATATTCCTGTACCTTGATACTCTCTATATAAAATAGTACATTTCGAACACCAATAAGGACCCAAGGGCAAGGCTCTCAAAGAAGATAGATATTTAAAGAGAAACCAAATGAGAGACAAAGACATTATCCAGTTTAGGCCAGTTCAGGCCATGCATTGAGGTCTCAGACTGAGTTCTTCCTTTACATTTGGTCTCGGAGTTTGGCAAGCCTTGAAGACAGTTCATCCTGAGAACCAAAGAAAACTGGCGTTAATGTTGTTGCAGATGCAGTAAGTCAGACATCTCTAAAAACATAACTTTTTCATTGTGTAAGAAGGGGGCGGGGTGGGGCTGAGGGCAATATTTCTGCAAGCCCGAGGCACAGCTACAATAATAATATCAGCAATGTTATCATTGCTCTATTATCCCAATCATTCATTTTAAAGATCCTGTTCAGTTGACAATTGAAAGTGTGGTAGGGTATATAATGGCTCTTGTTCAGGGCCTGTTTCTGTACCTGCTCTGCTGATGCTACGCTGGTGCCCACTGATCCAGTATGCCCCTGTGGGAGCTCCATGTTCAGGTCCAAACTAAACAAAGAAACAGACACACAAATTGCTATACATTACATTTCCCTCCTTTATATACACGTTTTTTAAAGAATAGAGAAAACCACAAAATGAGGAATACTTACCCTGCTTCATCAGCCAATTCGTGCATTAGTGAATCCACTTGATTCTGAAACACACGTGTGGGGCGGCAGGTAGCTTAGTAGTTGAGATCGTTGTGCCAGTAACCGAAAGGTCGCTGGTTCTAATCCCCGAGCCGACTAGGTGAAAAATCTGTCGATGTGCCCTTGAGCAAGGCACTTAACCCTAATTGCTCCTGTAACTCGCTCTGGATAAGAGCGTCTGCTAAATGACTAAAAATGTAAATGTAAATTTCACTGACCATTAACCTCCATTGATTGTGAACAGAGCAGAATAAACTAATCACAATAAATGTATCTCGTCATGATCTGCACGTGTGTATTTACTGTTACAGACTTCAAGATCAAAGGCCACAAATCTGGTCAAAGACCAAAGGTCTGTCTAGCAGGAGCACAGACACAAGCATTATTACCTGTGGTGTGGTAAGGGTGGTTGTGCTACTCATGGAGTCCTCCATTTGGGCTGTCTGCACATCCAACGTCTCAAATTGATGCTCAAACTTGTCCATGAGGCCTGAGATCTAGAGAGATGAGACATTCCTTACCCAATTTCCCTCTCAGATTGTGAAAAACATAATAAGATGTATACCATCTAAAAAGAGTGACACCTATCAAATAGCTGTATTTGACTGAGCATTATGAGCGTGCACACACACAGCCATGATCACACCGAACTCCCTTCCATCTGTGATTGCTCAAGTGAACAGCAAAACCTGGATAAAAAATACGATAAAGCAACACCTCACGGCACAAAGTCTCTCCCCTATTTGACCTAGATATTTTGTGTACTGATATGTAGGCTGTGTGTGACATTTTAAAATGTATGTAGTTCTGTCCTTGAGCTGTTCTTGTCTATTAATGTTCTGTATTGTGTCATGTTTCATGTTTTGTGTGGACCCCAGGAAGAGTAGCTGCTGGTTTCGGAACAGCTAATGGGAATCCTAATAAAATACAAAAATACACACGTTACCTTCTCCAGGTTCATACTCTTCAGCGTGGCATCCATGCCTTTCACCACTCCAGCCATAGATTTAGTGACCTGTAGAATGAACCAACATTACTTAAATAGAAAGGTACCTGGTTGGACACAGCAGTTATTGCTGTAGTTACCTTGCACTTTCACAGACATTGTACCACATTTTCCCTCCAAAGTAAAAGTGTGGAACCATCTTAAGCAGAATCAGTGTCTCCATTTTGAACATCCAAACCAATGTATTAAGTGTTGTAAAGTGTGAACAACTATTTATCTACAAAACAAGAATGTCGCTGTGTGAAGTCTCGTAGGGCATAGGTATGTATAACAACTGCACCTTGTTCATTGTGACTGCTGTTTGGACCCTGGAAGCCACTGCATCGATCCGAGCGCTCATCCTAAGGAAGTTGACTGACTGATTCTTCTGTCTGATGGCGTTTTCCGCATGGATCCGTGCCACTTCCACATTTCCTTTCTGGATAGCCTATGGCGAGGATAAAGGTTCAGTATCCCTACATATTCACTGTTGATATGTTCAGAGTTAAGGTGAGGTGATTGGGGGATTGACTAATGAGGTAAAATGCCTACTTACTTTTTTGACTTTTGCCTTCTCTGCCTTTTCCTCTTTGTCACATTTTTTAGAGTTTCGTTGCAGTTCTTTGGCTGAAAACTTGAGATTGAAGAGATGCTCTGTGATGGGAAGTTAAAGACTGTTTCAAAATTGTCATACATAAATTAAACCCACATTTTCAGTATTTGTGTCCCTTTCTTCGTACCCTCTTTACAAACAAACCTTACTCGATGGTGACGTGCTCCCACTACAGAACAAAAAGACCAGTGATGTAGTCATGTGAATAAACTGTAAATGCCAGCCATGCTACTAGGCACTGGGTGTCTTCAGACTAGTAAAATTGTTTACTAAACTGGTTGTGTATTTATAGATTATGCCTACTTTGGAAGATGTCGTTACAATATCAATAATAGCAAACAAGCGTTTACCTTTGTCACCAAGCAATCCAAGTATAAACTTTAAGCTTGAATACAAATCTAAACCTGATAGCTATATCTATATATGGCTTTTAAAATCATATTCAGACGAGGCTTTATCGTGAACTAAACAAGAGACTTTCCTTGTCTAGCTATATTTCCTGGTGGCATTTTCATGCCTCGCGTAGCTAGCTAACACTCTCGAAAGGATACTCTCCATATTCGACATGCTGGTAGGCTCCTTGATGGTCCAATAATTAATGTATTGTTATTGCTCTTATTCTTCTCGATTTAGACGTAATGCAACACTCGCTTTTCTAATTTAAATTTTACTCTCGTTGATACTTCCGGCTACACTACCAAATAGAATGACGTCACCATCACATGTTCATGGGGTGCGTTCTGTGCGTTGCATTTGACGTCACTAACAACCCCCAAAAAAGAATAACGATTTTATTTCTGTCAGTGGATGTCTGAATGGACGTGTAAAGTTCTGTAATTGAAAATTATTCTGGATTATTACATTTACCACAATATTGCTATCTATTATGTGCACAGCCTATTCCTCCCTCTATCCCTTATCTCTGGTGGTATGTCAGTGCAGAGACAATCCAATCAGGTTAGGGCTGGGGGTTCTCCTCACAGACAAGCTGTGCTTGCAGTGGCATAACTGGGGAGTGGGCAGTGATCAAGCTTGATTGATGATTAGGTTTGCCTCTCTGGATCCCGGCAGTGAGCGAGGGGATGACTCACCCTCTGTCTGATATAATATTCACCCTCTTTGCGGCAGCCAGTGCATACCTCCCAAGCTCCTCCTGCTCTGCTCTATGAATGTCTGCTCACTCACCCCTAAATGATACTGAGGCCTTTATTCACCAATCCTGGAGGAGTGCAATTTCCCTATAACATAAACTCTCATAAGACTATCCTACACTCTATCCTAGCCACGTCCTCAGAGCATGCGCAGACCAGCTGGCTGGAGTGTTTAAGGACATATTAAATCTCTCCCTATCCCAGTCTGCTGTCCCAACTTGTTTCAAGATGTCCACCATAGTTCCTGTACCCAAGAAAGCAAAGGTAACTGAACTAAATGACTATCGCCCCGAAGCACTCACTTCTGTCATCATGAAGTACTTTGAGAGGGTAGTTAAGGATCATATCACCTCCATCTTACCTGACACCCTAGACCCACTTCAATTTGCATACCACCCCAATAGATCTGCATACGATGCAATCGCCATCGCACTGCAAACTGCCCCATCCCATCTGGACAAGAGGAATACCTATGTAAGAATGCTGTTCATTGACTACAGTTCAGCGTTCAACACCATAGTACCTGTCCAAGCTCATCATTAAGCTTGGGGCCCTGGGTCTGAACCCCGCCCTGTGCAACTGGGTCCTGGACCTCCTGACGGACCGCCCCCACGTGGTGCAGGTAGGAAACAAAACCTCCACACTGATCCTCAACACAGGGGCCCCACAACGGTGCGTGCTCAGCCCCCTCCTGTACTCCCTGTTCACCCATGACTGCATGGCCACGCATGCCTCCAACTCAATCATCAAGTTTGCAGAAGACACAACAGTACTAGGCCTGACTACCAACAATGACGAGACAGCCTACAGGGAGGAGGTGAGGGCCCTGGCGGAGTGGTGCCAGGAAAATAACCTCTACCTCAACATCAACAAAACAAAGGAGCTGATCGTGGACTTCAGGAGACAGCAGAGAGAGCACTCCCCCATCCACATCGACGGGGCCGCAGTGGAGAAGGTGAAAAGCTTCAAGTTCCTCGGCGTACACATCACTGACAATCTGAAATGGTCCACCCACACAGACAGTGTGGTGAAGAAGGCACAACAGTGCCTCTTCAACCTCAGGAGGCTGAAGAAATGTGGCTTGGCCCCTAAGACCCTCACAAACTTTCACAGATGCACCATTGAGAGCATCCTGTAGGGCTGTATCACCGCCTGGTATGGCAACTGCACTGCCTGCAACCGCAGTGCTCACCAGAGGGTGGTGCGGTCTGCCCAACCCATCACCGGGGGCACACTGCCTGCCCTGCAGGACACCTACAGCACCCGATGTCACAGGAAGGCCAAAAAGATCATAGGACTTCAACCACCTGAGCCACTGCCTGTTCACCCCGCTATCATCCAGAAGGCGAGGTCAGTACAGGTGCATCAAAGCTGGGACCGAGAGACTGAAAAACAGCTTCTATCTCAAGGCCATCAGACTGTTAAATAGCCATCACTAGCCGGCCTCCACCCTGTCACTAGCCGGCTACTAACCGGTTACTCAACCCTGCACCTAAGAGGCTGCTGCCCTATGTACATAGACATAGAATCACTGGTCACTTTAATAATGGGACACTAGTCACTTTAATAATGTTTACATACTGTGTTACTCATTTCATATGTAAATACCTTATTCTAGTCAATGTCATCCTATTCAACTATTGCTGTATATAGCAAGTATTCAGACCCCTTTACTTTACCCACATTTTGTTACGTTACAGCCTTATTCTAAAACGTTTTTTATTTTTATTTACCTCAATCTACACACAATACCCCATAATGACAAAGCAAAAACAGTATTTTTTACATTTTTGCACATTTATTAAAAATAAAAAACAAATACCTTTTTTACATAAGTATTCAGACCCTTTGCTATGAGACTCGTAATTGAGCTCAGGTGCATCCTGTTTCCATTGATCATCCTTGAGATGTTTCTACAACTTTATTGGAGTCCACCTGTGGTCAATTCAATTGATTGGAAATTATTTGGAAAGGCACACACCTGTCAGTTGACAGTGCATGTCAGAGCAAAAACCAAGCCATGAGGTCGAAGGAATTGTCCGTAGAGCTCCGGGACAGGATTGTGTCGAGGCACAGATCTGGGGAAGGGTACCAAAAAATGTCTGCAGCATTGAAGGTCCCCAAGAACACAGTGGCCTCCATCATTCTTAAATGGAAGAAGTTTGGAACCACCAAGACTCTTCCTACAGCTGGCCTCCCGGGCCAAACTGAGCAATCGGGGGAGAAGGGCCTTGGTCAGGGAGGTGACCAAGAACCCGATGGTCACTCTGACAGAGCTCCAGTTCCTCTGTGGAGATGGGAGAACCTTCCAGAAGGACAACCATCTCTGCAGTACTCCACCAATCAGGCCTTCATGGTAGAGTGGCCAGACGGAAGCCACTCCTCAGTAAAAGGCACATGGTAGCCCGCTTGGAGTTTGCCAAAAGGCACCTAAAGACTCTCAGACCATGAGAAACAAGATTCTCTGGTCTGATGAAACCAAGATTGAATTATTTGGCCTGAATGCCAAGAGTCACGTCTGGAGGAAACCTGGCACCATTTCCTACGGTGAAGCATGGTAGTGGCAGCATCATGCTGTGGGGATGTTTTTCAGCGGCAGGGACTGGGTGACTAGTCAGGATTGAGAGAAAGATGAATGGAGCAAAGTACAGAGAGATCCTTGATGAAAACCTGCCCCAGATCGCTCAGGACCTCAGACTGTGGCGAAGGTTCACCTTCCAACAGGACAACGACGCTAAGGACACAGCTGAGACAACAAAGGAGTTGCTTCGGGACAAGTCTCTGAATGTCCTTGAGTGGCCCAGCCAGAGCCCAGACTTGAACCCGATCGAACATCTATTGAAAGATCTGAAAATAGCTGTGCAGCGACGCTCCTCATCCAACCTGAGAGGATATTGAGAGGATCTGCAGAGAAGAATGGGAGAAACTCCCCAAATACAGGTGTGCCAAGCTTGTAGCGTCATACCCAAGAAGATTCGAGGCTGAAATCGCTGCCAAAGGTGCTCCGACAAAGTACTGAGTAAAGGGTCTGAATACTTATGTAAATGTGATATATACCGTTTTTATTGTTTTATAAATGTGCTAACATTATGGGGTATTACGTGTAGATGGGTAAAAAAAAAGTATTTATTGAATCCATTTTGAATTCAGGCTGTAACAAATTTTTTTGGAATAAGTCAAGGGGTATGAATCCTTTCGATAGATAGATAGATACACTACATGACCAAAAGTATGTGGACACCTGCTCGTCAAACATCTCATTCCAAAATCGTGGGCATTAATATGGAGTTGGTCCCCCCTTTGCTGCTATAACAGCCTCCACTCTTCTGGGAAGGCTTTCCACTAGATGTTGGAACATTGCTGCGGGGACTTGCTTCCATTCAGGCACAAGAGCATTAGTGAGGTCGGGCACTGATGTTGGGCGATTAGGCCTGGCTCGCAGTTGGCATTCCAATTAATCCCAAAGGTGTTCGATGGGGTTGAGGTCAGGGCTCTGTGCAGGCCAGTCAAGTTCTTTCACACCGATCTCGAAAAACCATTTCTGTATGGACCTCGCTTTGTGCACGGGGGCATTGTCATGCTGAAACAGGAAAGGGCCTTCCCCAAACTGTTGCCACAAAGTTGGAATCACAGAATCGTCTAGAATGTCATTGTATACTGTATTGTTAAGAACCCAGATTTGTCCGTCGGACTGCCAGATGGAAACATCACTCCAGAGAACGCGTTTCCACTGCTCCAGAGTCCAATGGCGGCGAGCTTTTCACCACTCCAGCCAACGCTTGGCATTGCGCATGGTGATTTTAGGCTTGTGTGCGGCTGCTCGGCCATGGAAACCCATTTCATGAAGCTCCCAACGAACAGTTATTGTGCTGACGTTGCTTCCAGAGG